GAACGATTTAATCAGACATTGGAGAGGTACCTAGCAAAAGTTGTAGACAATCGGCAACGAGATTGGGACAAGCACATACAACCGTTTTTGTTGTCATATCGAAGCGCTGTTCACGAAAGTACATCAGTGACACCAGCTTTCGCAAACTTTGGGAGAGAATTACGGCTGCCTGCAGACCTGATCACCGGGATACCACCTGATGCTCCACGCAGTATAACCGATTATGCAAATGACTTGCGGAACAAAATGAATGACGTTTATGAGCACGTCAGACAATCGGGCCAGCAAATGTCTGAAAAGATGAAAACCAGATACGACCGCAAAATGAACAACAAAGGGTTCGACGAAGGTTCACTAGTGTGGTTGCACAATCCAGTCTGCAGCAAAGGGAAATCTCCTAAGCTTCAAGCTAAATGGGACGGCCCGTACCGGATTGTGACCAGGATCAACGATGTAACCTACCGGATACAGAAAGGCGCAAGAGGGACTCCTAAGATCGTCCATGTGGATCGCGTTATTATGGGGCCGATAATGCTCGGGACGAGCATGTCTTAGGAGGGGGCAGTGTTACGCGCCTAAGTCGACGGCACTAGCGCCATCTAGTTTCGCACCGAAGAACTAAACTTCTTGAAGTTGAAACTCGAACTCTCGGTACCTTGCGCGTGTTTACTTGAATATTATGGATATTTCGGTGCTAATTTATATTTATAGGCGCTGCAAGATGCGATCGGGGAAGTATTGAATTCGGCGAGACAAGCGAAGCTTCGGAGCGAAATAAAGTGAATTAGTGTGATTAATTATTAGTGTTTTAAGTTTTAATTTGTGTAAAGAAAATTAAAGTATTAATTTAGGTAATTTTATCGGCAATTTTTATTGTCACGAACCTCAAGCTCGTAACAATATATATAGTATCGTACCATATTTCAGTCAATTGTACTTTATTTTATAGAAAAATAATATAGTACGAACAATACTTTATTTTTTGTCCCTAATTCAACTATGGCGCTTTTTTATATTAATTGTGATTGTAAGTCTGGAACAATTAAATTTTACGAAAATAATTTTTTTCATAAGTTTTACCGAAATAATTAAAAATGAATTGTAAATTTGTGTATACGTGGTAGAGCCATGCTGCAGTTATATTAGTAGTGTAGTTGTAGCACGAATGGGTCGGCTCAACCAAGGAAGGACCACGCTCTCACAGAATACCAGCTTGAAATAGTAGCATAATGCTGCTGTATTTCGTATGGTGAGTGTAAAGAACTGGAGACCCTTTAGTCCTCACGGGTGACAACGCACCTGCATTTTGTTTTGTAATCGAGGATATATGTAGATGTCTATGGGCCTCAGCAATCACTTAACATCAGGTGGACTGTGTGCTCGTTTGTCACCCTATTCTATAAAAAAATGAACCTAAATTGCTCAGATTCATATAATTATTTTAAAGGTAATAAATCATTGATGGCCAAAGCGAAGAGCAATAATAAATATATATGGAGAAATACATAAAGATTATAAATAAATGTGTAGGTTACTCCTTTTTCCCGAATTTCTCAAAAGTGCTATATTTTTGCATCGTTTTTGGGAAAAATACTACATTTCTTTAAAAAAAAAGGTGATCCTAGTTCTAAACTTGGAGTTTTTCCGAGAATTCTAAAAATTGATAAAGTAAACTGTCATCGATGTTAATATTAAATCTACGTAATGCCACATTTATAGGTCCCATCCAGTTGAAGCTAGAACGGATCGTTATTTCATTTTCAATAAATTATACTTTTTGAAACAACAGTTTGTAACATCCATCTCTCAATCCCTCAGTAGATATAGAAAGTGTGATGTACTGTGCTATATCTATTATTTCCGTTAGTATTTCATTTTTCAAAATTTGTCACGCAACCCAGATAAGCACGTGTGGACAAACCATGAAATAAGTGCAATCAAAATTTAATAACATTCAATTTTAACCTTTTATTACATGCTTATCGTTGTTTGTGATTGACGTCTTTACACAGCTGTAGTTTTCTACAGCATCGCTAATTTTGCGTTCGCTATGATTTCACGTGGATTTCTGTTACTTTCTTTATTTATTTTTCTTTGTAAGTGTTACATTTTTAAAATTAAGGTTGTTAAAGCACTTGATCAAATAATAGGTCGCTTTGTGTTAGAATAGTTCGTCGGTCTCCCTGTTAAACCTATTTCTATTATTAAATACGGGATCACAGACATGGCTAACAGTCCGCAAGATGGTAAGTGGATTATGTGGTCTATAGACACATACATCTATCTTAGAATAAGAACTAAAATGTAGACGCGTTGTCACTGAGATGAAATAATAAGGTTACGTTGAGAGCCTTTTCCTTTTTACCTGAATGTGCGCTGCAAAGTAGGATAATGTATTTATCAGTCTATACTGGATGATCTTTTTAACCATCTGAAAAAAATAGGGTGTAACATGTAAACGGAGTAGAAGCCTATGGTACTAATATTTAAAAAAAATAAAAACAATAATTTTGAATTACATAAATTAATTAATTAAAATCTATCGAAATTCAAAGCATATCCACCCTACTCTACGAACGGCAAAACAATAAATATTTAGTAGGCATTGTTGACCTTGTCACAGGGTCACAGGCTAAAGTGGATATGATTTAAAGTTCGATAGATTTTAATTAATTAATTAATATAATTAAAAATTTTGTTTTTATTTTTTGTAAAATATCTGTCTATTATTATATTATTATTATTATTGCTACGCCCTATTTTTTCCCGAAGATAAAACATGTCACCAGTATATGTACTTTTGTTCTTTTGTGGCGCTCTAGAGATCAAACACGTGGGCTGATCAATCGATTTGTCTCAATGTTACGTGTCGTTAGTCATAACAATATTCAACATTCAATATGGCGACAACCAGACGCTATCAGGCACGTTAGGAGGATTTTTAGCTTACCAAGAATTTAAAGGAGATTTTCGTAAAGTTAACAGCATTGCTATATTTTTTAATTATATCGTGTTTTCTATTATCTAGGCCTCCTCTTTGTGCGGTGCTTTAATATACTGTTGATGTAAATAATGAAATAAATATAACATATTGAATAAATAAAATTACCTAACCATATTGAATAAATATATCATATCCGATCTATTCATAATAATCCACGATTTCAGAAGTTCAGGCCATCTAGTGTCTTTTTTGCGTACCACATTGAAAGTAAATTTTTGTCTAATTTTGACTTTACCTATAGGATATAGTAGATGTCGCTATTTCAAAGCAATTTTACTCGAAAGAAAATATTCTTTTGACTCATTAAACAAAAAATTTAGGCTCTTTAAGTCCAAAAATAAAAGTTAAATTATTTTTAATGTTGGTAACAATATTTCTATCTCCTGATACTCTGCATTCGTCTCAATCTCTCGAAGTTTAATTTTCTGAAGGCTTCACTTTAGCTATGTGTGAACTGAATACTTTTTTTATGTAAAGTAACAAATGAACGAACATACCGTCTATTGGTTAGTAGCTGATATTTGATAGCCCTTCGTCTACAACTGCACCCGACTTCAAACAAGACAACAGATTAACAGATGTAATGTGACCCTTGACGAGTGACGACTTAGATGAAATAACTCACAACTTAGAGTAATAATTAATCTACATTTCCAGTTTCTAGGACTCTTGCGATTTTACAGAGAGGTTTTAAACATTGATAAAAATAAAAGTGTACATGAAACATTGAAATAAAACTTGTACCTAACAGAAAAAACCTCCCAAGATGCTAATGGCGTAGCACAGCCTACCATGCCACAGAAACCTCCCCCCCCAGATTGCTTCATAGAGGGGGTAGCCATAGTTGCCACGCTTAGCAACCGCGGTTTTTTTTTATTTCTGGTCTTTATTGGGAACATCCTGCTGCCCATCTCCTGATTTGTTCCCCTCCGTCGCCTCTTACGACACCCATGTGGATGCTCATACACCCATGTGGATGCTCATACACCCATGTGGATGCTCATACACCCATGTGGATGCTCACCACCCTGGACTCATACATCCAGGATGCCCATACACCCATGTGGATGCTCACACACCCATGTGGATGCTCATACACCCATGTGGATGCACATACACCCATGTACTCATACACCCTGATGCTCATACACCCATGTGGATGCTCATACACCCATGATGCTCATACACCCATGTGGATGCTCATTCACCCTTGTGGATGCTCATACACCGCCACTACACTTTACTGCATTCGATGGCATTAAATCCACCTATTCCCGCTTAACAAACATCGTAACGCGTTACAGTATCAGGGCAACCCCATCAGCATAATTATAACTATACTGGTTCCTATACTCTTCCAACCTCAACACAGCAGTGGCTGTACACACACGCGAGCGCCAAAAATAAGTAGGAGTGATATAAACCCAGTCGGCAACTCTTTATTCTTATCAGTCAATCGATTGCTTGTACTTCTTTACAGTACTTCTCACATTTTGCAATCGGAGAAAATGTCTCAAGCGCTTTAAAAAAAGCATCATTCTGCTATTTTACACTGATCTTTGAGAGCATCGTCCTTCTTCATGAACCCATTTGTACTACATCCATAGTACATCTGCATTGTAAAATTGTGACGTAAGAGAAGACTTAGGGAAAGACGTTATACGTGGTAGAGCCACGCTGCAACTATATTATGGTGGTAGCACGAAGGGGGGCTCGACCGGGGAAGCGGGGGACGGACCACGCTCTCACAGAATACCAGCGTAAAATAGCAGCTTAATACTGCTGTGTTTCGTATGGTATTTCATCTTAGTACTCAGGGGTGACAACGCATCTGCGTTTTGATACTTAATCGAGGATAAATGTAGATTTCTATGGGCCACAGCATCCACTAAACATCAGGTAGACTGTGTGATCACCCTTATTTTATATAAAAAAAAATTATATCAAAAAGGCCCAGTGAGTCTTTAAAATTATAGGTGCTTAAAAATGCTCGTATATGTCCTTTTTCGCAGTAATAGTGAGCATCGGTAGTTCTAAGAATTTCAAGAACCAAAAAAAAATAACGAAACGGAAACCAATTCAAATACGAATGGAGCCCGATGAAGACGGAGAATTGCCAAAGATGAGGTACTTCGGTGAAAAAAAGAAGTTAAAAGAAGATAACTTGGACAAATTTATCGGGAGAGCTGGAATCGATGATGCGTTGTTGTACGATATCGATGACATAAATCTGAGAATTGATTTCGAATAAATATAAGACATCGGAATTGATGTTTTTTTTAATTGTAACAATAAAAATCATACGGAGTAACTGCACAGTTTTCATTCATTTATGTATTATATAGGATATGATTTGAATTTCGATAGATTTTAATTAATTTAATTCCAACTTTTTGTTTTTATTTTTTGTAAAATATGTGCCATAGCCTTCTACTCCGTTCACATGTTACACCCTATTCTTTTCTAGACGGTAAAAGAAATCATCCAGTATATGAATATATTTACGGTATCAAATTTCGTATACCGTGGAATTTTTATTATAAGGAAAATAAGGGTGACGAGCGCTCAGTCTATTTGATGGTAAGTATGTTGTAACCAAAGGACACCTGAGAATCAAAACGCAGATGCGTTGTCAACCTTGTGGACTAAAATGGAATGCCTAGTTTTCAATAAAAGGGTCTCCGGTTCTCTACACTCACCATACGAAACACAGAAGCATTTATATTATGATAATAACATAATATACTAATTGGGGTGAGTCTGAGGGTGTGCGTTAATTACGTTATATCTTAATTAATTATATCCCGCATAATCATTATAAGTAACGAACTTTTCTGCTTTAACGCATACTCCAAAAATGTGGCTTCATCACAACTCTTCACAAGTCCGTTGCTGAACATAGGCCTCCCCAAGGAATGCCACAAAGCACGGTCTCCTAGCAGGTCATCCGCCATCTAGTGGGGGGTCGCCCTACACTTCGCCTACCGGTACGAGGCTGCCACTCGAGAACATTTTTCCGCATCGGTTGTCGGTTCTTCAAACTATATGGCCGGCCCATTGACACTTCAGCTTACTAATCTGTTAGGCTATTTCGGTCACTTTAGTTCTATTTTTTCTCATTTCTAAGTTTGTCACGCAGAGAAACCTCGAGCATATCCCTCACCATAGCTCGCTGAGCAACGTTGAGCTTCCTAATACAACCAGCAGTGAAGGACCACGTCTCAGATCCATAAGTCATCACTGGCAATACGCACAGGTGTAATCTTGCTTTCATAGTCAAGACATTGCTTACTTTAGATAGGTAATAATTTTATTTACTGTTGTGTACGTCAATAGGTTATGGCAAAGTATTTATTTGTTTATTTATTTAACAAGTCCACTTACAATACACATATGTATATGACATTATCACAAAAACATACATATTGAAACATGCAACTTAATTTTGAATTAATTTGAAGTGGGAATCCAATCCAATCAATACAATACAATGACAAAATTTTCAAGTAAATGATGTACCTAAATAGGAAAAGACCTTTTGAAAGAAAAACTTTTTTATTTAATTATTAAGAGAAATGTTCTCTCCTAATAAATGTAATCTTTTTAAGAATATGAACCTTTAATATGAAAGTATAAAGAGTGTGCATTAAGAGTATGAACTTTTTATAGTGTGGTTTGCATGATGGGGTTGTGACTTGTGACCAGGATTAAGAAAGAAATGCTTCGGTGGTTTAATCATGTGGTAAGAATGAACGAGGAAAGACTGACAAAGCAAATTTATGTTGCAGAAGTAAACGGAAGAGTCGGAGAGGGACATCCTAGGCGAATGTTTATCGACCAAATTAGCGATATTTTGAAAATGGGCCAAATTAAGAGTACTCTTAACCGACAAGCATGAGTATGCGTAGGTATATGGATGTGGAGGAGGCGAGAGGTGTGTCAGGATCGTGCCAAATGGAAGTCTGTAGTCTCTGCCTACCCCTCTCGGTGACCGGCGTGAGTGTTTATATATAGCTTATAGCTATATGTATGAAATAAATTCTATTTCAGTCATTTTAATTTCAAAAGCAATATAATAGTGGTGAAATGTGTCGATGCTAGTAGTATGGTACTATCGTAGAAACTCGACGAAAAAACTGAATCCTGAGATGAGATTTCGCGAAAGGTATATGCAATGCTTTTAAAATGTGACAACGGTAAACATTCTTTCTCTCTTTCATTCGTAAACATTTTTAAAATAAAGTAGTGAGAAAATAAAACACTAAACTTTAACAAGGTTTTTATTAAAACAAAATCAATAGATTGGAAAGTCTCCATCGACACTGTCCGACCAAGCGTGGAGTCCGCCAACCAGATCCTTCACTTTGTCCTTATGCTCTTCATCAATGAGGTCTATAACCATCTTCGCCGCTATTTGAGAGTCGTTTCCTCTTCTACAGACGAACGTCACTGAAAAAACAACTATTAATGAACTCCAGACCGAATTTCGGGTCACGGGTGGCCTCCTTCAACGGAGACTAGCCATTGGCGTAGGACAGGATTATAGTGTCCAAGTTATGGAGTGTAGAAGCAAGGAGTACCAACTCCCATAGTAAAATAGTTGAAAAAGTGGCCATCTGTAAGTAATAAATAACAGTTCAAAAACTCTCCACAACAGCGCTGGAGTAGCTACTGGGATGAAATGAACTTAGCAGTTGTCGACGGTTTAAGTGTGCTGCTAAACTGCTCAAGAGCTCTAAAATCTAATATATATATATATATATATATATAAATATATATATATATATATATATATATATATATATATATATATATATATATATATATATATCATAATATATATATGTATATATATATATATTCTATATATAATCTATATAATTTTATTTCGTAAATATAACCTCGAAAAAGAAGTCATCACAATATTTTTCGGCACGTTCTTTAAAATTTAGCCCGTAGCTATAGTGGCGCCACCCTTATTTAACGGTTTTCTATGGACACTTTTTAATACACAGTCTGTACTCCTTATTTCTACACTCCATAGCCCAAGTGTATGCGCAAGCACAGGTGCACTCTCTATTCTCTCACTCTCATAGTCCGATAGGACAGCTGCTTAAGGTATTTTTTATAGGATAAGGGTGACTATCCAAATAATGGTAAGTGGATGCTGTGGCCCATAGACATCTACATATATCTTCGATTACGAATCAAAATGCAAATACGTTGTCACCCCTGAGGACTAAGATGGAGTGCCTCTTTTCCAATTAAAAGGGTCTACGGTTCCGGTTCCCGGGTCGAGCTACAACCATAGTGTAGATGCTCCCGAAGTACAGCGATAAAAAACCGTCATCTCGGGACTCCGGGTTACTACCGATAACTTCTCGACGAAAAAAATGAGCCAAAACCGAGATTCAACCCCGGTTGTTTTCTTTTTCATAAATTAAATATTTGAAAATCTTGAATTAATCAAACCAAACAAACATATAGACACAGTCACATCCATTCACACATTATTTTCATCATAAAACAAATCCGTCCAGTTTTGGAGGAAGAAACAGGGTCTCGGTTTTCTAGCTGAGTACTTCGGGCAGTCGACAGTCGCTACCGTAACGGTAATGGCTGTCGACGATCTAAATTCCTCTGAACATGAGTCTCCCCCATAGGGAAAATATTTGCCACAGTTGCCACGTTTAGCAGACGGTTTGACAGCAACAGATCCTAGAAAAACTATTCTTCAAATATCTTGCAATCCATATCCTCTTAACCTGTATTTGTAATGATATATAAAAATATTTACATAGTTATCACCCTTAGCAGACGGGTTGTCGATTTTATATCTGGTATAAATACAAAAAGAAATTAGCACCCTTTATCAGAGACCAAAAGAATTTTCAGTCCCTACAAAGCCATTTAGCGCTCGCTGTAAATTTCCCAGTACGCGAGAAAACCTGATTTGAACCCCCTGGCACCAATTAAATCGTTAATTGTTATTTTAAGTGTTGATTTACCACGTTTTTAATAGCATAGGGTGACGAACGAGCACACAGTCCACCTGATGGTGTGGTTGCTGCGGCCCATAGACATCTACATCTATCCTCGATTACGAATCAAAATGTAGATGCGTTGTCACCCGTGAGAACTAAGATGGAATGACTCATTTCCAGTAAAAAGGATCTCCGGTTCTCTACACTCACCATACGAAACACAGCAGTATTAAGCTACTATTTTACGCTGGTATTCTGTGAGAGCGTGGTCCTTCCCCGGTCGAGCCGACCCATTCGTGCTACAACTATACTACTAACATAACAGCACCATGGCTCTACCACGTATAACTCCGTGCTCGGCAATTAAGGAATACATCGTGAGGAAACCTGCACGTTTGAGAAATAAGAAAAGAAAGTATTTCAAAGACATGTGAAGTTCGCCAACACGCATTGGGGCAGCGCGGCGGACACTTCCTTGCCCTAAAACCCTCTCAGAAATGAGAGGTCTGTGCCCAGCAGTAGGACGTATAGAGGCTGTAATTTTAACAAATTTTGAGAGACCCAGGTCCAACAGTGGACTGTCTAGCGTTGATAAAGAAGGCGCATATACGTAATAAATCTATAAGTTCTATTATGCTATCATAGCACATTTAACTTTTTGTGAAATGACGTTTCTTCCCCTTTTAACAACCCTCCTTCCCTACCCCTTCCAAACAGGTTTTAACATTGTCGTAGCGTGAAGGCTTTTATTACCCGTGTAGCCGTAACTTGGTCACCCAAGGTGAATTAAAAGGAACCCAGTACTACGTGTGGGCTCGACCTATTGACTTTAAACAACTTAGACCAACCTTGATTCTTATCGTTGACCATTCGCAAAACCTCGTCCACCTTTTCGCCGCGAAACTGATCGATTGGATAGTTAACAGCGCCATCTATACGGCACATGTTGAACTCCGCTTCGCTCCGAACATCCACCAATAGGTGGCGTTGCTTTTGTTTAGAGTCCACCTCAAGATTCAACTTCTTCAGCTGCTCCTCCAATTCCAAGGCCGTGATACGGTACTCCGGCGAAAGAATTTGAAGATCTAGGTCCTGGAACGTTAGGAATATTTTTACAAACGAGCACACAGTCCATCTGATGGTAAGTGCTGTGGCACATAGACAACTAGATTTTTATCCTCAATTAAAAATTAAAATACAAATGCGTTATCACCCCTGAGGACTAAGATGGAATGCCTCGTTTCCAGTAAAAAGAGTATCCGGTTCTCTACACTCACCATCAGTACCGTCTTTACCATAAGGGCACACGGGGCCCGTGCAAAGGGCCCCTAACGTCACGGGCCCCCGTAATGATAGGGCCATCGGCCTTATTCGCTTGTAGCTAATATATAGCCTGGATTTTTTTTCCGCAACTTACGTATTTATAATCTTATGAGATAAAAATATCATTTCGTACAATAACATTTCAAAACATTTAACGGTAAATGATTTATTTAATATGATAATTATTATAAACCACAATTAATAGATTTAAATTATTAACAAATAATTGTTACGATCCTTATTTTTAGACAATTGAAGCCTCAATTTCAATGTAATAAATAAAAAGAATATACGTATTGATGTTGTTATAGAATATTTTCCTTTTTTGAAAGAAAGTTTAGGAAAGAAACATTAAAGCTTACATTTTCCTAAGAAATTATCGTTCCCGCTATGAAGTCTGTCAAATATTTTACCTCATTGTAAAGTGGCGCCGCCCTGGTGGCAGAAAAAGTCGTGGATCGGTCATTAATGACATATCATTTGATTTTCACCAATAAACTATGATAAATATAAGATCACAGCAGAAAAATGTTTTTGTCATTCACTTTTTTACTCTCCAAAAGGGCCCCAAATTCTTGTGTGCCCGAAGGTATGGCCTAAGACGGCGTTGCTCACCATACGAAACACAGCAGCATTACGCTGCTATTTTACACTAGTATTCTGTGAGAACGTGACTCTACACCGGTCGACCCATTCGTGGTACAACCACAATATAACTGCAGCGTGGTTCTACCACGTGGAAAAGAGTTGTAGATATCGGCGTAATATAGTCCATCACACTTAAATTGCCTAATTGCCTGTATTTTTTTCTAAATTATAATTGTAAAATAGAAATAGCTGTATCTGCATGAGTTGATGATACTATTATTTGCCTTACTTATGTAAAAGAAAAAATAAAAGAAGAATTATACGTCGTATAGAAGTTTAACTTCGCACATGTGTGTACACAATTATACACGCAGTTTTTTTAATTACCGCGTAGTGGCGGTGTAAGGATATCCACCCGTGGCTGTCTTAAGATGCGACAGACGGAAAACAAATCAGGAGATGGGAAGCAGCGTCTTCCTAATAACGAGTAAAATGAAATACTGCGGTTGCCAAGCAATCTGCCAAGCGTGGCCATTACGGCAAATATGTCCACTATGATGTAATCTGTGGGAGAAGCCCTTGTTCAGCGGTAGCTTATTGAATGATGATTGAAAAAACGTAAACGTCGTCGTCTACGTTAAGTCACGTGACAGCGACTTTGTATAGTTTTCCATTAGTGTAAAGATTGTAGAAACTTAAATTCCCTAGCCCACTGCTATTTTTGGTTCAGCAGCCAAAAAAGGTTGAGCACCGTTGCTCTACAGATGTTAATTGGTTTCAATCACGTAGTGTAGAGATAAGGAGAACCAGGGGTATGAAAGTTCTCAGTAGCTTGCTTTTACGCTGATACTAGCACCATCTCACTGTCATACAGAGCGCTATTTTCTCAACTGTTATTACATATTTTTCTCGAAAGATGGCACCATTAATAACATTTATTATTTTATACCAAAGAAAAGAGAAAGAAATTTAAATCAAGCTATCAAAGTTTTGAAATGTTGCGGTATATATATATATATATATATAAAATAAATTTTATCTAATAGACAATATAAGTCATGTCATAGTGCTTTGATGACACCCGATAGAAAATTTTGTATACTATATAGTGAATTAATGAAATTATTAAATCATCTATGAACATTTCCCATAAATTATTCTATATATAATATAAAATATACGAAATAATACCGAACCAAGTTTACCGCCCTCTAGTGTATTTTTCAGTAATTCATAATCCCACCGCCATCTATTAGAGTGAAGAAGAAACTTTTCTCGTTTCGTCACCAAATAATTTGTTAGGGTGGCTCATCTATGCCCTGTATAGTATAATATCTATGAGAAGAACCGTCTCTGTATATTTAAAAAAGTGAGTTGAAGAGTTTTTGAAACCCCAATTTTTTTTTAAAAATTTTAATTTTAAAAAAAAAAAACACCCCCTCCCCCCCCCCCCCCCACCTCGTACGACGCTAAGTTCGTTTCATTCCCTCTAGCTACTCTAGTGTCGTTTTGGAGAGTTTTTGAAGTATTATTTACTCCTTAAGATGGACACTTTTTCAACTATTCTCCATCACAGAATGAGGAATAATCATTTTCCGTTCACCAGATGTCACTACAGAGATAATATACTAAATAGGGCATAGATGAACCACTCTCACAAATTCTTTGAGAGCCTATGCTCAGCAGTGGACTTGTGAAGGCCTGTAATGATGATGATGATGATGATACCCAACTAATATTTCAAAAAGAAACATTAACTTTTATATTTACTTAACAATTTAACTTCATTTCCTTGAAATCCGTCAAATATTTCACCCCATTATTAAGTGGTGGTAGAAAAGATATGGATGCCGTCATTGAGCAGGAGTCAAATAATAAAAAAACATATTTATTTATAATATAATCACCATTGAGCATCATTATAATAATAATTCACAGTCATTAAATTATTATCACACATGACAACACCGGTTTTATCCATGGCGTATTCCCGTAAGCTTGGCAACACATTGTGCTGGCTGACCAAATCGCATATATCCGTGTCGTTTTTCGGCTTGAATATCCTTATATTTTTCGCGGTGGCAACATTCGAGAACGTCTTCCTCGAAGCTGGGACCACGCCTTTCGCTTTCATATCCCTCACATACATATTATATAGTTGATATAAATTTTTTATACTATCCAAATTTATATACTGTATGTCTGTACAGTACTGACATCTCGCGGGCGCTTTGGGCAGGTTGTCTATATACGAATTCACGTTCAAAGACTTAATAGGCTTTTTGGGTAATTTGGGCTTCTCCCCGATCAGCCAGCACCTCACCATCGCTTCTTTGATGCCCAGCGTGTTCAAAAACATAACCCTACATACTGGCAGCCTTTCTTCCTGATGTTTCAGATGGTACAGCTTCGTATCACCCTTTCGAGAGACCATGCCCTTATGTTTTAATCGTCTCCTCTTCGGTGGAACTGTATCTACGAGAGACCTGACAAAATTCTTCTTCCCCTTCCAGTCTAACTCATTCCAGAAGTGATGGAACAATTTCGCTCGACCCTCTTCCGTTATGCTCGAGCAATGCCTGTACGTCCCTTTCGCACAAAACTCCGATTTACAACGTGGCCCCATCTTCCTTTCGGATTTCGGGACATCCTGTATCCATTTCTTCTTGTCGCCGTCAGGGATTTTTGTGGTCCGGAAACCGTAGTAACTCTGTCCCGTCATACGCTTCTCTTTCTCCTCTCTACGGCGCTGGGTTTTGAGGCGGGCTTCTTGCTTTTTCTATAAATAAAGAAAAGAATATTAATAGTTTTTTTTTTACTTTTTATCACTGGTTCAAAAAAGCCCCAGGAAAGAACAGTTCTGTTAAATAGTTTACAATTTTTTTAGGTTATAAAGTTGGTAGCGATCAACTATTTCTCAGAGGGTCATTAATACGAGTACCATGCGTTTCTTTAATATAAAAAATAACTTATTTTATAGTATTTGTTTAAAAAATACTTTCACTGTACTACAATAAAGTAGTAAGTAAAGTGGAGAACCTCTTGTGGAGTCAAGTAAATGGATTCTTTTATATATCTATTTTGATTTTCATATGTGATCTTACTTATACTGTCAACTTATTGCTTGCTTGCACAAAGGTTTATAGGCATAGTACGAGTACAATTAAATTACAGTCGGTGGCACGCGTATTGTAGTCAAAATTTATTTAAAATTTAAGTATCGTTCACTTTCAATAAATGTATTTATTATTCATAATTAAACAATAAAAATCTTCCAAATTTAAAACCATATTTCCATAATTATTTCTTCTGCGGCGGCAATGCACCGAAATGTTCCCATCATGCCATCATTAATTGACGCCATATTGTACTGGCGTGCCGCCGCAATATTGTGTCGGATATCCCGCCATATTAAACAATTTTAATTGTGTGTGCGCTGAATGAAGCATGCCAGAATTTGTTTTTATTTATTTAAATACAACAAGTTATAGAATTATTGCTGTTATCTCCATTCTTCACAAATAAATTAAAATGGGATATAATAAATTTTGGAGCACAAAATGACATAAAATAATCGCCAACACTTTTTTCAATATATCGCAAATGTAAATGTATGATATCATATACTGGTCAATGTTTTGAAACGAATCACCAGTATGGCGTCGATTTATGACGTCATTTGCATTGGCCACTATACTGGGTTCTATTTCGGAACACAGCCTATAATATTCTTCGAAAATATACTGAGGCGCCAAATTTGATTATATTTATTACAATTTTTTGAATGATTATTTAGAGTTTAGACTTTATATTATAAATTGTTTACATTGTACATATTAAGTTTATCTTTGCATAACAGATAATACTAGTTTCAAGTTAATAACAAAATTGCAACAAATTATATTTCCATCGATTTCTCTTCATTACAGCTCTATCCCAAAATGTTCACTGCTGAACATTGGCTTCCGCCATATAATGTCTAATGGGGGAATTTGCCACAGTTGCCACGCTAGGCAGGCTAATTGGCAACCGCCACAGAACACTATAATACATACATAATAGAACGGGGGAGTGGGCGGAGCCCGTGTAGCCACTAAAATGTCACTAACACGTCAATTCACACGTATAAATGTCAACACGAGATGTGTTTTGACGTTACAATCATTTTCAAATTTCGCATGCAAATATTTAGAAAATGCCAAATTGCACGCTATTTACAACTAAATATGTATTAAAATTTAAACATTTTTTTAGTGATGATATTACACATTAATCAAAAGTCTAAAATGTGTAAATTTACTCAGTCTGTCAACACAGCGAATCGGGTTTGGCGACGCCAATCCTCGTATAAAATAAAGTTGACAGCCATTCTATTGTGTATTATAGTATTCTATAGCAACCGCAGTATTGTAAATTATTTTGAGTTGTTGTTATCAGAGAGATGCTGGTACCCATCTTCTATTTTAGTTCAGAGTTTTGTTTTAGCGCAAGAAATAAATAACATTTAATAATATAACGAGTGGGAAAGGTGTGTCAGGATCGTACCCAATGGAAGTCTAAGGCCGGCCACATATACATACGGAATTCCGAACGCAGCAAGTCCATATAAAATCAATGATGCATCACACACCTACGGTAGTTTTCCCTAATTAATTTTGCGGGCAAAACGGGATTCCGTATGTGTGTGGTCGATCCGTTATTTCCGTTTTAGGATTACGAAACGATTTGGCGTGCCTAATGAAGGCAGGCGTGCGGTTTTGTTATATTATTTTATGTAGTAACAAAAAATAAAGCATTAATATTTAAATATCAAATATTATAGAAAATAGATAGATAGATAGATAGAAAATTCATTATTACACTCAAACAAAACAATTTGGTACAAAGGCGAACTTAATGCCACAAAGGCACTCTCTGCCAGCTAACCTTTTGTAGTGTGGTGAGAGTTATGGGTATATAATATTATGTATATGTTAGTTATACATATATACACTTATACACACATATATATATATATATATATATATATATATATATATATATATATATATATATATATATATATATCATCCTACCACGCATCGCTGTAATGAAAGGACAATCCCTTTGTTCATGGCATTTTTCTGACTTTGGGGCTTCGTATTACATAAGGGATGAATATTATATATACTGAATATAGTACATACATACAGTTCTAGGTTTAAAATAAAATAATAATAATTATTATAAGTTTGAGAAACTATAATCCAAGCTAAATCCATTCTGATGACAATAACGGTCCCCAATTCGGGAATTCCAATACAATTTTTTTTTTAAACGTACGATTAGGGAAATGCGTATGGAAGAGATTAAGTAATGATTATATTTAATATTTTCTAACGTTAAAAGTTCTAGTGAGTTTTACTGTATTCGTTTGCTATTTTATTTTGAATGGGAATGAGAAAGAAAGTGATATTTATTTCGCCATTTTTTAACAAATTGACACTGGAAACTCAAATCAGTAGATGGGCAGTAGCGTCTTCCTAATAAACCTGGCAACACTGTCTGCCAAGCGAGGCAACTATGGTAGATCACCCGCCCCATGAGTCACTCTATGGCGGAGGCCTTTGTTCAACAGTGGACCTTTGATAGGCTGTACGGTACGGTAACAGTAACACAAAATATACAATAGATATATATTCATCATTTAAATCGAATAAAAACTAAAACAATTCAATACCGCGAATGTTATGATTTAATAAAAATTAAATACGTCATTAAAAATTCGTAAATTTCACTTACCCTTAGATGCAACATTCGCAGTTTTGAACTTCATGCACACACACAAAAACAAAAACACTAAAGTTGTAAAAGAAAATAACTATAAATATTCATTTGGAAAATGCTGTAATAGGTCAGATATTTGAAAGTCCACATTTCAATACCGTAATGACGGTGTTAGAATAGTGTAATGACGGTGTTAGAATAGTGTAATGACGGTGTTAGAATAGTGTAATGACGGTGTTAGAATAGTGTAATGACGGTGTTAGAATAGTGTAATGACGGTGTTAAAATATTGTAATGACGGTGTTAGAATAGTGTAATGACGGTGTTAGAATAGTGTAATGACGGTGTTAAAATATTGTAATGACGGTGTTAAAATATTGTAATGACGATGTTAGAATAGTGTAATGACGGTGTTAGAATATTGTATACGGTGTTAAAATATTGTAATGACGGTGTTAGAATAGTGTAATGACGGTGTTAGAATAGTGTAATGACGGTGTTAGAATAGTGTAATGACGGTGTTAGAATATTGTAATGATGGTGTTAGAATAGTGTAATGACGTATTAAAATATTGTAATGACGGTGTTAGAATAGTGTAATGACGATGTTAGAATATGTAATGACGAGGTGTTAGAATAGTGTAACGACGGTGTTAGAATAGTGTAATGACGGTGTTAGAATATCCACTACCCCCATATCGTCCCGTGGGTGTCGTAAGAGGCGCAGAGGGAAACAGAAGATGGGCAGCAGCGTCTTCAACAATAGAGAAATTGCATTATTTAGTCTTCTTTTATAGTGTAAAGGTGACAAACTAGCACACAGTCCACCTGGTGGTAGTGGTTACTGCGGCCCATAGACATCTACATCTATTCTCGATTACAAATCAAAACGCAGATGCGTCGTCAGCTGTGAGGACTGAGATGGAATGTCTCGTTTCCAGTAAAAAGGGTCTCCGGTCCTCTACCACTCACCATACGAAACACAGCAACATTAAGCTAATTTACGCTGGTATTCTGTGAGAGCGTGGTCCACGGTCGAGCCGACCCATTCGTGCTACAACTATACAATTAATATAGCTGCAGCGTGGCTCTACCACGTTAGTATTATCCTATGACATTATAATTAATTTTGACAACATAAACAATAAACATGAGTGTTTTATCATTCAAACACGCGGTGCCGTTACTAAAGCGATATAATGACGTCAATGGCGTTTGAATTAACATTTTAGAAAAACCAATTTAATTGTAAAATTACATGAAAAATCAATTATTATTTTTTTAATTTTCTTTATAATATTGTAAACAAAAAATTTAAAAAAATAAAAAACATGCACCTTCTTTATTAAAAATAAAAAAACTACGGTTGTCACTTTGCCTCCCAAGCGTGGCGGACTATGGAAACATCCTCCTTATGTGGCTATCTATATATAATCTGTAATGGATTTCAACATTTCTCTACATTTTGAGATACTTAGTTCGATTTTACTGTTTATAAAAGCATGGTTGCGTTTGTTTTACGCACGTATGCGTGTTTGCGTGCGTATGTGCGTGCGTGCGTACGTGTATGTACATGTTCGTTCGTATCTTGTACGTTTGTGATATTGAACTTAGAAATAATAATGTTAGCGCACAAAAAAAGCGACGACGGGCTGTGGAGAACTGGAACACTCATTAAAAATAATTAACGTAAACTTTATCTTATTGTACCTAAAGAAAAAGTAAAGTTACAACCTATATACATCCCACTGCTGGTCACAGACCTCCCCTCATATTTGAGAGGGTTTTAGGGCAAGGAAGTGTCCGCCGCGCTGCCCCAATGCGTGTTGGCGAACTTCACATGCCTTCGAAATTCTTTTTCTTATTACTCAGACATGCAGGTTTTCTTACAATGTTTTCCTTCACCGCCGAGCACGTGGCAAAATCAGCACTTAAAATTGTAATTAACAATTTCATTGGTGCCGGCGGGGATCGAACCCGGGTTACTCGGGTTTTGTTATATATACAGCGAGCGTTAACCATTTGAGCTACCATGGCTCTTACTTATTGCACCTATTCAGAGAATAAAACTTTATTATACCACATGTAAGGTAAATAAAACGTAGTTCATCTTCAAACACTCAAACAAATAATAATATTTACTTCAAACTACGCATAATTACATAACAAATACTTTAACTTAAGTATTCCAAAGAATGGATTAAAAATTGAACTTGGAACTGCCACCAAGTGGAAAGTTGATAAGGAGGTCGGACGGAATTTCACCCACATCCTTTTTGATATATATCAGATGGCAGCAAGAGACTCGATAGCATTTCATAACTACCTGAACCCTTGGAAGAAGTAATAAACTCTATGTCTTTCTAAAATGCGTGATACGGCAGCATGGACACTCGTAATACGCTACAAAACGCCAGGTTTAATATATTAGAATAGAATTCCGGCCACGGCGGCCTGCCTCAACGGAGGCTAGCCATCGGCGCAGGACGGGATTATAGTGCCCAAGTGTATGCGCAAGCACAGGTGCACTCTCTATTCCCTCACTCTCATAATCCGATGGGACGGTAAACCGACACGACCGGAGAGAGATCGGGCGCAGGACCAACGGCTTTACGTGCTTTCCGAGGCACACACCACCAACTTCCTGACTCCAGGCAACTACTGAGAATTTCTTGACGGAAAAACTCAACAGACCCGACCCGGGAGTCCAACCCAGGACCTCATGATCAGCAGTCGCACTACTACAACCACTAGACCAACATATATATATATATATATATTAAGGGTGACAAACGAATACACAATCCACCTTATAGTAAGCGGCTCTTAATTCTGTGAGAGTGTAGCCCTCCCTGGTCGAGTCGACGCGTTCGTGCAATAATATATAGCTGCCGCATAGTTCAGTCGATTTTAGATTTCCCTTAATTTTTTTACACAGTTGTCTTAAATATCATTAATACAACTTTTTTTACTTGAATTCCTTTTTGTTGTACTGGGCTTTCTCGCAGCTGGTAAACTCATTCACAAGCGCACACTAGCTATGCTCTTGGTTTTCTATATGATTGTATTACGGAGAGTATACACACAAATTACAAGATTTTATTCCTCTTTCCCTTTTCCGCCATCGTACAACCATACTGACGGCAGTTCTTAAACCTTTTTTGTCTGTATTTCAAGTATTCAAACTGAACTGTTTGCTTCGTATTACGTATGACGTACAACAAAGAAGTGGAAATAATTTGCGCGACACTAAAAAGGGACAAATATAACTAACATCTTTAAGATTTAGCCTCCGAGAGAATGAGATAGAACAAAAAGGTTCATGAAGATCTAGACTGTGACGATATCACCTAGTTGATGGTGGACTCCGAAAGGGGGCTTAGGATCTCGTCACGTGACGTCACTCCATAGAAACATTGTGTTTCGACTCATTTGAAAGGTACTCATAAAATCCTAGATGACTGTGACGGTTTCACCTTCCTGATGGTGCAATTCAAAGGTAAGTATACAGTGTAAATTATAAATTTACCCTTACCCTTACAGTCTATTAAAGCCCACTGCTGAGAATAGGGCTCCCGCTTAGATATTTTTTTATAGAAGAGTGGGCAAATGAGCATGCGGTACACCTAATGGTAGTTGACTACCGCCGTCCATGAACAACCGCAACCATTTCGGTTTCTACTCGGTTCTCTACACTCACTGTACAACACACAGTAGCTTTAAGCTGCAATTTTACACCGGTATTACGTGCATCCACCTGATGGTAAGTGGTTGCTGTGCCCCATAAACATCTACAGACCCATAGATATCTACATCTATCCTCGAGTACGAAGATGCGTTGTGGCCTGTGAGGAATAAGATGGGATGCCTCGTTTCCAGTAAAAAAAAATCTCCGGTTCTCTACACTCATCATACGAAACACAGCAGCATTAAGCTAATATTTGACGCTGGTATTCTGTGAGAGCGTGGTCCTTCCCCGGTCGAGCCGACCCATTCGTGCTACAACTATACTACTAATATAACTGCAGCATGGCTCTACCACGTATAAACTAACTAACTTAACTACTACTATATTGTTTTAACAATTATACCCTGGGTTTTATACCATGTTAAATATTATTACGTCACGTAAGTAAATTGAGTCACATCTTTAAAGACGTGCTGTCATTTGCTTAACTGGCGGTGCTGTAAGGTAGGTAACTTCCTGATGGCATGTAAGATCCCAGTAGGCATACGTAACTCGATCGCGTATTTTAACTACATAGTAGAATTTTTATTTTTGCTAACATCCACTTAGTTCGTACATTTGTTTTGAGGGTTGACACTGGCTCGTGGGAAACACGTTCACCTACATTAGAATCCAGGCACTTTACATTTATTAAAACTACTTTTACGGATTTTATCGCGTTTAATTTATTTTATTTTTAATACCCGACGTTTGCGCTAACCATCTGAGCCCTGGTAGCTCAGATGGCTAGCGCTCGCTGTAAATTTCACAATACTCGAGCAAACCGGGTTCGATCCCCGCCGGCACCAATGAAATTGTTAATTGCAATTTTAAGTGCTGATTTACCACGTGCTCGGCGGTGAAGGAAAACATCGTGAGGAAACCTGCATGTCTGAGAAATAAAAAAAATTCGAATGCATGTGAAGTTCGCTAACATGCATTGGGGCAGCGCGGCGGACACTTCCTTGCCCTAAAACCCTCTCAAAAATGAGAGGAGGCCTGTGCCCAGCAGTGGGACGTATATAAGCTGTAACTTTACTTACTTTAGTTACCCGACGTTTCTGGGGACTAAGGTGACTGACGTCTCAATGTCAGTGTTAACCCGGAGTTCCTTCCGATTTTTAATTATTATTTAAGATCCGATCTACGCAGAATGAACTCTGTCTTGAAGTCTTGCAGTGCTCGGGTTTAGTTTTAATTTTATTAATTATAGGGTCCAAAGGCAGGATGTTTTTTTTTAAACTTTACGTAGGTATTAACCTCGTAGGAATCGATGATTGTTCGCGAGGATTTGTGGTCTATCAAATCATACATTTATTTGTAAAAAAGTTATCGGTGAACTAATTTAGAAATAATCGTTACCTTTTCCTTGGCTTGCGCTTTACAGAACGCTTCGTAATCGACAAGTCGGGTGATGGTCGGTGATTCTGAACAGGCGGCACACTGCGGATTACGTGGCCGGAGTTTAACTGGAATTAAAAGAAATACCGTGTAGTTATATTGTAAGAATACCCACTACCCCATATCATCCCGTGGGTGACGTAAGATGCGACAGAGGGAAATAAATGTGAGATTGTCAACAGCGTTTTCCTAATAACGACTAGCAATAAAAAAAACTACGGTTGCCAATCCGCTTGCCAAACATGGCACTTATGACAACTTTACTGTGGGTGTTTAAGCTAAATGCTGCGCTAGTCGTTATTTGAGAGGTTTTAAGGAGCTATCTACTTGTTATGAAAAACATATATCAGGATGGACTTTTGTGTGCGAACAAAAGTCAAATACTTAGGCGTCACCCTTGATGCAGGGCTCACTTTCGAGCCCCATATCAAGAAAGTAACTCGCACCGCGCGATTTTACATGAGTAGGCTCAACAGCATGTTGGGCAGACACAGTGAAATGTCCCTCCGCAACAAGCGAACCCTATATAAGGTCTGCATACGACCTGTTAGGACCTACGCGGCCCCCAATTTCGCACTCTTTTTATAGGATAGGGTGACAAACGAGCACACAGTCCACCTGATGGTAAGTGGATGCTGTGGCCCATAGACATCTACATCTATCCTCGATTAAGAATCAAAATGCAGAAGCGTTGTCACCCCTGAGGACTAAGATGGAATACCTCGTTTCCAGTTAAAAGGGTCTCCGGTTCTCTACACTCACCATACGAAACACAGCAGCATTAAGCTACTATTTGACGCTGGTATTCTGAGAGAACGTGGTCCTTCCCCGGTCAAGCCGACCCATTTGTGCTACAACTATAATACTAATATAACTGAAGCATGGCTCTACCACGTCAAAAGCCAGTGCAATACCACACTCCCACCTGGTGGTAAGTGATGATGCAGCATCGGATGTTATATCGCACTGTCTCAGCGTAACAAAAGCCTATTCTCCGTTGCCTTGAAAACGCTCAGGTTGTATTCGCACGGAAAGATAGACGCCGGCAAATTATTCCACTAAGCAAATAAATAAATAAAAGAATTTCTTGATTAAAACTACTTTTACGGATTTTATCGCGTTTTATTTATATTAATTTTAATACCCGACGTTTCGGGTGCTTTCCAGCACCCATGGTCACGGTGGTTTTTAATCAATGTATAGTGTTCGCGTAAAAATAAGAAATCATTATAAAAGAATTTCTGCCATAAAATTGGTGTTACTCCTAGTATTAACAAACTTTCTTTTTCTTTTCTTTTTTTTAAACGTTACCCCCCCCCCCCTGCCATAGAATTTTCTCCTGTATCGTGGAGGTATACAGGTATACATAAATTGCACAAGGACACACATCCAGACCCGGAAAAATTACTTGTAGAACATAGAAAAACTTGCTCCGTGCGAGTCCCGATTCGAACCCGCAACCCTCAGCGCTATAACTCTTTGCTAAGCTACTGCGGCACGGAGCCGTCAACTTAGTCGACGATATTCTACGCATTTGGACCAAACGATTTGTTTTCAGTCTTCGTTTTACGTAATGCGACCAGTAAAGGAGTGGAATAATTAACAACATAATTATAAACATATTAGTTTCATACCCGTTCTAAAGGAGACGTCCTCGCCGTCAAAAATGAGTAACCTCCCGACGAGTAACTTCTCGTGTGTTTGCCCAACAATTAGTTTGATCGCTTCCAAAGCCTGTAAAGCACCTGTAAAGAAAAATATATATTGATTTTACACGTGCACACATTAAATCAGTAAGCTGAAGTGGGAATTGAGTGGCCATTTATTTATTTGTTTTATATTTTATTATTAATAAGGCACACAAACAGATTGAAGGCAATATATATAACACATTTACAGTAACAAAAAATATTATAACTAGTCTATAATCCAATAGTGTGCACAGCTAAACAAAATATGACAACAAGTTTAAAAAATATAACTTATTTAATATTATTCGTGAAATTTACTTGTTTAAAGTAGCAATATTTCATACGTGGTAGAGTTACGCTGCAGCTATATGATAGCTATGATGGTTGTAGCACGAATGGGTCGGCTCGACCGGGGAAGGACCACGCTCTCACAGAATATCAACGTAAAATAGCAACTTAACGATGCTGTGTTTCGTGTAGTGAGTGTAGAGATCCGGAGACCCTTTATTACTGGAAACGAGGCATTCAAATTTTAATAGAGAAGATGGCTGGGTGCTACCATCTGCTTGAGTGGTTGCTTTCTACCGTTAAGTTTAAGTGTAAGGCTGCCAATAAAGAGTATAAAAATACATTGCGAAAGGGTAAGTAAGTTACTTAAGTAAGTAATTACTTATTCTGAATATGATCGACTGATCATATTTGAGTTCTACTATGTGAGTTCTACGTTTTCGCTACTATGTAAATGTATGTAAACTTGCCGTTTTTCGCGAATCGCGATGCTTGGCTCGAAAGAAATAGGTAGGTAATGTAAACAACAAACAAACCCGAAATACGATTCCTAAATGAAATGTGTTCGTACTCTACTTAAGTTAAAATCGAGTTATAACAAAGTTTTAATTTCAGTATTTTGTGTTATTACAAATTAAAATATTTTAATTTTAAAACCCACTAGATGGAGCGACGACCTGGTAAGACATGCAAAAGTCGATGGATGTAGGTTACTCAGGACCATGCTTTGTGGAGTTCTTTAGAGGAAGCCTATGTTCAGCAGTGGACCTGTGATGGGCTGTGATGATGATGATGATGACTATGATGACACGGATTAAAGGTAGAATATGAACTTAAAGCCATTACGTGTCGCATGGTGAGTATAGAGAACCAGATACTCTTTTTTACTGGAAATGACACATTACATTTTAGTCCTCAAAGTTAACAACCCGTCTGAATTTTGATTCTTAATCGAGGATAGATGTAAATGACCATGAGCCACAGCATCCACTTACCATCAGGTGGATTGTATCTCTATTTATCCTTTAGATGAACCGTGGTAGGTTAGCTCACCAAAAATCACATATTAAGTTCTGATTTACCACGTGCTTGGCGGTGAAGGAAGACATTATAAGTAAAACTACATAATATCTAAAAAACAAAAAATATCAAGTACGTCCGAAGGTCACCAACACGCACTAAAGAAGAACCTATGTTCCAACAGTGATTCTTTTATCACAATGTCACCAGAAAACTATAGTTTTTTTTTTTATATAGAACAGCGTGACAAACGAGCACACAGTCTACCTGATGGTAAGTGGTTGCTGTGGCCCAGAGACATCTACATCTATCCTCGATTACGAATCAAAATGCAGATGCGTTGTCACCCGTGAGGACTAAGATGGAATGCCTCGTTTCCAGTAAAAAGTCTCCGGTTCTCTACACTCACCATACGAAATACAGCAGTATTAAGCTGCTCTTTTACGCTGATATTGTTTTAGGGCGTGCTCCTTCCCCGGTGGAGCCGTCCCATTCTTGCTACAACCATAATTTAGTTGCAGCGTGGCTCTACCACGTATGAAATCTAGTCTCTCTCAGTTCTATTCTTATTTGAATCGCACTCGGTATTAAAATATTGTGACTTTATCATGGAAAAATTGACAACAAATGACATTGCAATTTTAAGTATACGTAATAAAGTTGGCGCCTAAGTTGGTGTCTGGTACCTGGCACTAGCGCCATCTAGTGTCGGGGAACAGAGCGAGGAGGGCCTTCTAGAAAATGCTTTCCAGAACTCTTCCAACAGCGCCATCTAGTATCGAATAGAAGAATTAAGATTTCTGGAAAGATCCACACTCGAACTTTCTGCACTTGGTCGGGACCGGTATTTTCTGGAACATTCTGGATGTTTCGGTGAAAAAGGCCTATTTAAAGCCGTTGAAAGCCGCGATCGCAGCAGTATTGAATTGGCGATACGAGCGAAGCCTCGGAGCGAAATAAAGTGATCAGTGTGATTAATTATTAGTATGATTTAAGTTTTAATTGGTGTTCAGTAATTAAAGTGTTAATTTTGATAATTCAATCGGCAGTTTTTATTGTCATGAACCCTAAGCTCGTAACAATATTTTTTTAAAAAAGAATATTAACAACGCTATAAACATTATTAATATTCCCCTTAACCACTCGTGGTAAGCTTAAATTGCTTGTGTTACGAGTGATTCACGCCAGTAGTCGAATGGCGGATTCGAACCCTCGACCTTTATAAGTTCGCGGTCCGCGCCCTGCCATTAGGCTACTGTCGCTTCAATGACAAAGATTTGTATAGCTTTAAGCAAATTAAGTAAAGATTCTGTATTTCTAACGCCATTATGCTTTATAGTCGTTATTTTGATTAAATACATTAATGGACTAAACAATTTGGTCCACCAATTAATAAGGCATCCTCACCAATAACTCCTGGCACCGGCCCCGCCACTCCATTTGCCGAACAACTGCCAACTGCCTCCGCTGGTGGGGGGTTTGGAAACACGCAGCGGTAGCATGGACCTTGGTGCGATAAATCCTATACAAACAGATAATATTTGTAGTACTATAAACGAAAATAAATATTTAAAAAAAACCACTTAAGGTTGACTCACGCTAGAACGTGTCGGGTCTGAGCCGAATGTCGGCCGTAGCATGGTCACCGAGCCGGTCCCGTGACTGAAATTACAGACACGGCCCTCGTCCGAGCAATTACCGTTGCACCGTGACGCTTCGCATACACCTAATCCGTCATCGGCCGAAGTTTTCTCGGGCGATGACGACCGAACTCGGACGATCGAATCAAACACTTGTAAAACAAAGAGAGCGCGTTCACTAACACGACCGTTATCGTCCGATAACGCACGAAAACGGCCGATCAACCGTCGAGTCCGAATTTATTGGGATTCCTCGCCCGACTGCAGGCGTCTACAGTGCAAATTGAGTGTTTTTATAGTCTAATTTAATCATTTTATCTTTATTCTATTGTTTCTGTCAGTGTTGTTATCTACCTAAACGACTATTGAAAACAGAAAAATAGAAAAGAATACCGGCAACGTCCAATGTCGGCACAAGTGGTACACTGTTGCAGTGTAAGCACATACACGTCCGAGTTACTCGTCCGGGTAGTTCTGTCCGCCATCGGTCGACAAAATCGGTTTTGATGTAAACGTACCGTTATACAGTATACTCGTCCGAGCAAAAATAGTGTTGTAACCAGAAGGAATCATGTTGAAGTTTGACGATCTGGAATTAGCGTCTATTGCGATCGCTCTGGACGATGAAGAGTCTGATAAATCTTCAACTACAAGCCGGGACTGAGTTGTTACCTAGCGCTATACGTTGCTCGGCCGTCACTCGGTTGCCGCTGGACATAGCGTCACTATGGACACAGTATACACAAAATATGTGTATCATTAGTTGACCGTGCTACGGCCGACACTCGGCTCGGACCCGACACGGTCTAGCGTGAGTGAACCCCAAATTGCGACTAGCCACCGCCCATCCATGCCATCTGGATGACTGGCGGTCTCCACCACCGTGCGATTTAAAAGTTTTCTTCCTCACACAACTTCCTTGTGGAAACGACTACCACCAAAGATTTTTCCGGACCGATACGATTTAAGGACCTTCAAGAAAAGAGCCTACTCCTTTTTAAAAGGCCGGCAACGCATCTGCAATTCCCCTGGTGTTGCGGTTGTTCATGGGTGGGGTAATCACTCACCATCAGGTGAGCCGCATGCTCGTTTGCCCCCTCTCCTAAAAAAAAAATAATAAACATCTACAACATCAGTGTAATTGCAGATGTTTTGATGGTATTTAAGTCCGAACCCCTTGTACGGGAATCCGGAGTTGTTTTTAAATCTTTAGGTACAATAAGTTACTGGACAAGTGAAATCTTAGTATTGGTGGGAAGCAAGTTTTTTAATCGATGTAGAGATTGCAGACACAGTAGTTTTGCTACTAACCCTCTTGTATATGTTAGTTCCATAGAATACTATAATACATACATAATAGAACGGGGGAGTGGGCGGAGAACGTGTAGCCACTAACACGTCAATTCACACCTATAAATGTCAACACAATCAATCGTTTTCAATTTTCGTGTCAAGCGTCGCTACATGCAAACTATTTGAAAATGGCAAATTGTGCAATAACAACATGTCGAAATAATAGCGGAAAGTGGAAATTAAATAAAGGAGACATATCCTACAACCAGTAAGTGGAAACTATTTATATTTTGTGAATATTAAAAGTAAATAAATATTGATGTGTCAAAAACAATAATCAAATGTTTAAAATGTATAAATTCGCTCGGTCTGACAACACAGCGAATCGGGTTTGTAGTAGTGATAATACGACGTAATTGCTTATATGTGTGCTGCCGGCGACGCCGCTCCTCGGCAGTTCCATGTTAAACAACCGTCAGTGTACAGACCAGTGCTCTTTACATTAGTAGAGAATGGTTTTTTTAATAGGAAAAGGTGACAAGCGAGCACACAGTCCACCTGATGCTAAGTGGTTGCTGTGGATCATAGACATCTACATCTATCCTGTCAAATGAAGAACGTTGTCAGCCTTGAGGACTAAGATGTAATGCCTCGTTTCCAGTAAAAGGGTCTCCGGTTCTCTACACTCACCATACGAAACACAGCAGCATTAAGCAGCTATTTTACGCTGGTATTCTGTGAGAGCGTGGTCCTTCCCCGGTCGAGCCGACCCATTCGTGCTACAACTATACTACTAATATAACTGCAGCATGGCTCTACCACCTATATAAAACAGTTTGATTATTTGTTAAGTTCGTTATCCAAACAGTTTTTTTTTTTCTCAATGAAAAGTACTCTTTTCTCTTTTTTTAATATCCATTGTTCCCACGGCTAAGGCAAGTCCTATTTTCTGCTGTTTTGATAAATACGGCGCCTTGTCGATCAAACGTGCAACCCAGTCGATACTTCTTTACGAATGCGCTTCGCCACGATTTAAGTGAATTCAAAAATTTAGTGTAATGTGATCACTAGCTTCCAATTTAGGTTCCTAATTAGATTTTCTAAAAATTGTATAATGTAATAAGCGCTTTACTTTGCATAAATCCATTACATTAAAGATATTAATTAATTCGCAACCATCCGCTTAACAAATACAGTGATGTGTCTTACCTGGATTGAAGAGTACCTCCCGCCCTCCCTCAGTTGCGTGCACTAATCCCAGCACCAATCTTCTATCCAGGTAAAACACATCATTGTATTTATGAAGCGGATGGTTGCGAATTAATTTATATCTTTGTTAGACTGTATTTTCTTCTTAGGCTGGGACTTTATCATGACTCTACCACGACTTTAAGTGCGTACCTAAGTTATACACAGTGCTTAAATATGCTTACCTTCTCATTGTGGTTTCTCTCAGCTCGATATCCATATACCGTCAGTTGACCTTCCATTTTCAAAGCACTGCCAGATATTAACGGTATCTGGTGACAAATATATCAATAATTAAAATGATAACTAATTTTTGGCCGTCATCATCATCATCATCATTACAGCCCTTCACAAGTCCACTGCTGAAAATAGGCCTCCCCAAGGAATGCCACGGAGCACGATGCAATATCCTGAGCCATCGTACAAAAATTCAATTTTTTTTAAAATATCAGTGCCATAGGCTTCTACTTCGTTCACATGTTACGCCCTATTTTTCCAGACAGTAAAAAAGGTCATCGAATATATGCTATTAGCTTTTAATGACTGCCTCGTTGGTCTAGTGGTTATAAGCGCGGTTGCCGGTCGTGGATTTTAATCCCAGGTCGGGGCAAAATCAATTATTCCATTTTTCTATCAAGATTTTCTCAGTAGCAGTTTCACCCCGTGCCTCGGAGAGCACGGAAAGCCGTTGGTCCTGCGCCTGACTCTCCGATCGTGTTGGATTACCGTCCCATCGGATTATGAGAGTGAGGGAATATAGAGTGTACCTGTGTTTGCGCATACACTCGGGCACTATAACCCTTATCTATGCAGATGGATGGTCTCCGTTGAGACCAGCGATCGAAACTGATGACCGAAACTCGGTCTGGAGGACATTATTAATTATAATTACCAATTACTTTATATCGAGCGTAGGTGCCATCCGGTCATCGCACCGCCCATGGCTCAAAAGCTGGTCGGTCTGACATAAGTGATGTAAAGCATCCGAAACGTCGGGAATTAAAGAAGTCTAACGCGATATAATCTGTAAAATTAATTTAATACATTTTTTATTTTTGAATAAGGGTAACAAGCAAGCACACAGTCCACGTAATGATAAGTGGATGCTCTGACCTATAGACATCTACATCTACCCTCAATTAAGGATCAAAATGTAGATGCGTTGTCACCCCTGAGGACTTAGACCGAATGCCCCGCTTCCAGAAAGTCTCCGGTTCTGTACACTCGAGCCGAACCATTCGCGTTACTTCGCGCCTATGCCATAACAAACATTACAAGATAAAGCTACTTGTGTTTTCAAGTGCCCTCACCTTAGCGATCGCGCACACGTCGTTCAGCAAGTACCTAGTGGGCACATTGTCGCTGCAGTCTAGGATCACGTCGTATCTAGACGCAATACCCAGGGCGTTGTCCGAGTCCAGCTGGACGGTGTACGGAGTGATCTTGATATGGGAGTTGATGCTGGAAGAGATTTCAACACAAAGGTGACTGTTACGAAGGCATTTGGGTGAACATTCTCGTCGAACTGTTGATCACAGCATGAGACATCTTTTTTATATATAAAAAGGGTAACTCGCTACTTACCCTTTTTCTATATAAAAAAGATGTCTCATATGTGGTCTAGTGTCCTGTGCAAATGACTAGTCTTTATTGACCGGAATTCAGTCTGGAGAACTTTATTACACACGCTACTGTGTTATTCACGTCTCGATCTTTTGCACATTCTCAATTCTGCGAATAAGTTTCTACGTATAAATCCGCGCACTTTCCGGGTGTGTGAAATAGGGTTTTCTTAGTCTAACGTGTTTATCATTAACATATTTTACGTGGTAGAGCAACTGCTATTATGCTATTTGGGCTGGAAGACTAATGGTTTACTTCAACTGAAGAAGGAGAACGCTCTCACAGAGTCAGCATACAGTACACCTGACGGTAAGTGGATGCTGTGGCCCATAGATATCTACATCTTTCTTCGAATAAGAATTAAAATGCAGATGCGTTGTCACCTGAGGACTCCGTTTCCAGAAATAAAGACTCTCGGGTTCTCTAAATTCACAAGGCGAAACACGGCAGCATTAAACTGCATATGTTCAGGAAATACCCTAGAACCGTGCTCCAATGTATTAATTAGAGATTATTATTGTTCAGTATTCGACATTATTCGAGACATTTTTGTTATTCGTCATATACCGAATATTAGGTAGTATTATTCGACATTCGGCCAATAGTTGCCTAAAATAACCTTTTAATTTAAAAAAACTATAGACCTAATAATTATCAAACTTAAATTTTTCTTTTATGATGTAATGTAAGAAAAATAATCTTAGGTAATATGTTGAGTTCAGGAACTCGCTGGCGAGTTTAAATATCTTGAATCAATTTATGTTTAGGCATTCCGAGGTCAGACTGAATACTTTCATGTTTCGTATATCCCAAGTGATTAAAATGTATCATCAATGTCTATTAGTGGAATGTTTTTAATGCATCATTTATCACGAAATCGATTGGGCGGGAAAGTTATACAAAACGTGGTATTAAACGCCGGGTTATACAAAACGTGGTATTCCCCGTAAAAAAAAAAGGTACAAGAAAAGGGTTGCCAGCATTTAAAAATATACAATCAGTGTAATATGGGACTGATTTCTTTAACTTCGTTGTTTTAGTTTGTCGTAACAATAAATGAAGGTAAGTTCAAGACCACTAAACGCGTGATATTATTACTTGATAAGAAATACATTATTTTATATTCCTTTTGCTATGTCGAATAATAATAGCGAGTTGTAGACTATTCGCCATAAGAAATGGCGATTAATCGGTTATCGACTATTCACTGTAACAAGTATTCGCGGCATCTCGAGTATTAATGCTCAGTACGAATGGGTCGGCTCGACTTAGGAAGGAGCACGCTCTCACAAAATACCAGCATTAAATAGCTGCTCAATGCTGCTTTGTCCTCTAGGAATGGTGAGTGTCAAGAACAGAAGTGTAAGAGGCGACACCAGAAAACAAACCAGGAGATGGGCAGCATCGTCTTACAAATGGCAACTTATAAATAACAGAACTGTTGCCAATCCTATTTTAGCCATAGCTATTTTAATATGGTGGAAATTATAACAAATACATCCCTTTGTAAAGCCTTGTCCAATGTGAACTTTTGATAGGCCGTCACGGTAGCTTAGGGGGAGGGGACACATCTGCATTTTGATTCTCAACCGAAGATTGAATGATGCTGAACCGCAGTTAAGAAGATTTGCCACTAACGTCAGGCTTGGCAGCGTCAAAGAAGTGAGTACCTTTGTTGCTGCTTACTGTCGCTGGTGTGGGTAGCTCTAAATTTAGCGTAAACGAAATTGTTATAGCGCCATCTGTTGAAAACTATGAGATTCTGACATTTTGCATAGTCGCCTATTACTAATTTCCGGTATTACTTAATTCCGGAATTTATTTAATATTTTGCTGCAATTTTCAACATTTTGCAGAGTATATTACAGCGTTGCTTTATTAACTGTTTCCCTCTACAATTGAGTTCATAGACATGAAACATCACTTAGGCTATAAGCCAAGTGAAAGTGCTCTACATTGCGCCTTATAGAAGGCACCATGACAGCTGGAAATTGCCACGGAACTATCCAGGTTAGTGGTAGAAGGATATCAACCCTCGCCACCACAAATCTCAAACTTAACTGATTAATAGCTGCTCCTTTCCTATCACTATGCGATAGAGAGAATAGTAAAATTCTATATCTATATATGTATGTGTCATATATCAGGATTACTTTTCCATTCGCATTCGCATTCCTTACGGCGCTACCACACGGCATTTAAATGAAAAAAATACAATTCTCCGATGATACTAAGAATTCCACAAATAAGAAAGTCTTCAAAGTTCTTCTACGACAACATTACCTGAGGGCAACTACTAATTGACTCTTCAATTCAGGTAAGGCACATCATTGTATTTCATTAAGCGGATGGTTGCGAATTAAATATTAATATCTTAATGGACATTATTTTTCCATTTACATTTTACATTTATTATGTATGTATATATATATATATATATATATATATATATATATATATATATATATATTCATACAGATATTTATTTATGAAGTATAAGCATGAATATATAGTATATACAATACGTAACATAAACCCTGTGGTTCCCGTTAAGTGTGTTATCAGAATCATCAGAAACATGGTGTGACGGCCCAATATTATTATTAATAATTAAATTCAATATAAAGGGGCATCAAAAATAGTCTTAAAAATATATATATTAAGCAATAAAATTACTTTAATAAACATAAAGTTAATATAAATACATTTCAGACATTAGACCAATAACATAGTAAATTAAAGGCCGAATATTGTCTTCCATAATAAATAAATTTATTTAAAAACTTGAAAAAATATTTAAAATAAGATAAATAATAGAAATACAAGTCGAAAATATTATAAAAATAAAGATAAATAACATTTATAAGATACTCAGAAAATTTGTTAAAAATTGTCAAGTCTTGTATAAAAGAAAATTTTCCTAAGTTGTGGAAAGAGTTCATGTATAAAAGAAAATTTTCCTAAGTTATGGAAGGTGTTCATGTATAGATGTCTTGTATGGAGGAGCTGCCGGAGATACATTCCTGCAGTTGTACATATATATGGGGTGGTCGGGAGCCCGACTGCCTGAAGTACTGTAGCACAATGACTAGTCCTATATTAGGGACATGATAATAAACTCAATGATACAAAAGCAATACTATAGAAGGTCTCTATGATGAATTTGCATTACAATAGTGGGGTCGTGGGTTGAAGTCCTATATATTAATGACTTATGAAAGTGAGGTCTATGATACAAAAGCAATACTATAGAAGGTCTACATGATGAATTTGCATTACAATAGTGGGGTAGTAATAACTTATGAAAGTAAGGTCTATGATACAAAAGCATTATTATAGAAGGTCTCCTTGATGCATAAGCATTGTATGGGGTGGTCGGGTGACCGACTGCTCCTAGTACTGTAGCAAAATGACTAGTCCTTATTAGGGACTTGAAAAGGAATATTATGGTGGCGTGTATGCTGCTTCACGAGCAATTGGTCCGAGGTAAACTTGGACTCGCTAACCGATGTGTCCTAGACATATCATCTTAGTGCCGGTGGTAAGCGTGTTTGTTGTAGCAATACGGCTTTCCCGTGGGCATCGCACATCCATACCGTTTGTGGGTGACGTCGTAGCACATAGCGATGCGTCGTCTATCTTTCGGATTGGGATGATGAGTGTGTTTGGTAGCACTTTTAAGTGTAACAGGCATACTCAACTACATGTCTTAGTGCATTAGCGCTATGATACGTGGAGTTTTGTTCATTGGCGTCTTAGTAGCGTGCTACTATGATACATTGGTGATATTTTTTAGTTAACAACAATACAAACTTTGTTACCAAAGTCGATATGGATCATGTGGGTGTGTTGTGAGGGGGGCGCCATCCGTATGATAGTTGCATTGATGCTTACTGCTACTTGCGGTATTGCGTCTTGTGATGGATCTGCGGGTGTGTTGCGCCTGATTCGACGCACTCTTGTTGTTCTGGTCGATGGAGGTATGTGGGTGGTGATGTCTGCTGGGATGTATGGGGGACCTTGGGATGGTGTAAGCCCGACGATAGTCGTAATGATGCTTGTTGCGTTCTGCAGCATTGCGTCTCTGCGATGGTTGTTTGGTGGGACGCTATTCTCAATGGCGCTCTCTGCGTCTTGGTTTGACTCACGCCTGAGTAGCTTTGCCCAAGTCGGGTCCCTTCATTACGGGGCTGCAGACTGTCTGCCCTCCACGATGTTTTATATAACAACATAATAATATATGTCTGTAACTTTCCCACCTTTGAATGATTGAAGGCAACTTGTTGGTGGGTGAGGCAAACATGATTGAAAATGCATTTACTCAACGTCAGTGACACAAACCCTTTCTGATGGCGAATTATTACTCTTATCTTATAACTGCCTTTTGGCTATATCTGCCGTTGTATTGGTTGGTGGAGCATATGTGTCGACCTCATGCGGGTGGTAGCTGGCGGGAGGATCTGAGGAGACTCTCAAGGCTGCGGCCGAAAGCCGCACAACGTGGGACCCCATTCCCTTGAGGTGAGCGGTAGACTCATGACACGCTCTGCGGCTAGTAGCCGTGCTGATCATGCAATTGGTGGTGATGCCATACACTTACATCACGTCTGCAGGAGCGGCGGTCTGGCAGGTGGTGGCGCTCACGAAGGGTTTACGGCCACTGTGCCTATTTGCCTAAACCGTGTGACTTACATTCACTGTGGCTGGATTCGTTCATATTCTGTATGGCGTTTACACGCATTGACATGCGCGACTTCGGTCGATGTTTGTGCTTACGCACTAACAAGGGGCCAAGCCTTTTTTACTGGTTCGCCAGTTATTTTGCTGTGGACTACGGTCCAGTTCCCGAATTAGCGTTTCCTTCGGGGGGGAGTGCATCAAAATGGTTGGCGCTCACCGTGCACGGCGTGTGTGGGGCCGTGTGCCTCCCCTACATTTTTTAAATAAATGTAGGAGAGCGAAGCCCCTGCATCGGGTATTTTGTATAAATATATTTTGAGCCTTTTCCGAGCGGAAAAGGATAATTAATAATAAATTTATAATGTAAACCTGATACAAGTGGAATAGGGACATTTTATGTTCTTAACCTTTCTCGAGCCCTGTCTTCGTGAACGGGGTTCACTTAGTTTATAAGGCACTACCAACAGCTTTCAATTACTCTAGTGAATATTCATTCTTCCAAAAGACACCTTAAAGTTACTAAACAAACACAACGTAAATAAGGGTCCTAACTAATATGATCACGCCAAAATATTACAAACGGCCTATTATTAAACCTTTTGAAAGATCATTTAAAAAGATCAAAACATATTTTATTTATTTTGGTCACAAATATATAAATTTTAATATAAAGGGGAATATAATATATTTAGTATTTATTTATTATTATGAGAGGGGGGAAGCGTTACAATGGCAATAGCCTTTGTAGAATCTTCTGGAAATTGGTTGTAAAATTATGTAAATATTGCTCCACAAATGAATTACTGAAGCGGCAATGGGCCTGCCATATAGCTCGAAGAACCGACAACCGATGGGGAAGAAAGGTTCTACAGTGGCAGTCTCGTACGGGTAGACGAGGACCTGGTAAAACTGCAGAAATTCGATGGATGCAGGTGGATCATAACCATGCTTTGTGGCATTCTTTGGGGGAGGCCTATTTTCAGCAGTGGACTTGTGAAGGACTGTAAAGATAATGGTAATGATGATGAAATGAATCACTTGCTCTGAGTAGTTGAGTAACAAGTCCAAAAGTTATCGCGCTTACCTTCTCAATGTTTCCGCAGCTGACTCAGCTTTACTCATATTCTGATCCCTTTCTGTATGCAAGATCTGCCTGTGAATGTTTGTGAGGTCCACGTTGTCATAATCCACTATCCCGATTTCACCTACCAATGAAAAACATAATTTATCTTTCTTCCTTTATATTTCTATAAAAAAATGAGTCCGAGGCAGAACCAAGCTTTCATCGAATACAGATTTAATTTTTCAGAATTCTCTCACAGAATACCAGCGTGAAATAGCAGCACAATGCCGCTGTTTCGTATGGTGATTATAGAGAACCAGAAACCCTTTTTACTGAAAATAAGGCATTCCATCTTAGTCATCAGTTGTGAAATAAAAGATACAGATTAAACTAAATAATTTAATCTAATCATTCATTTAACTACAGTCATTAAGTACTAGCCACTATACTAGGATTTTTCTACGTGGTAGAGTCATGCTGCAGCTATATTGTGGTAGCAGCACGAATGGGTCGGCTCGACCGGGGAAGAACCTAGTAAAAGATTTTGGTATGAAATGATTCTGGAGTCAATATAAATAAAATACTACAATTGTATTAGTATATACTAAATTGTGCCCTACAAGCACATTTGTATGCTGGGTTGGTGGAGAATAAAACACTGACAGACATGTAGCTGACTTTTTCATCGAATAACGATTTCCGAGAAGTCTTCTTAACTCGATGTAGCACTATTTGAAGTCTTCAGGTAATTATTTTCCACAATATTCGGCTGGCGAAGGACCATTAAATGTGCCCTACAAGCACATTTGTATGCTGGGTTGGTGGAGAATAAAACACTGACACTTTTTTCTTTCTTCTATATTTGATGTTTTCCTTGAGAGAGCTGGCCGCCGACTGTGTCGAACGACGAAAATCGCCCCTCTTTTTATACTACCTCGGCCGGGTCGAGTAGTACGGCGTGCGTACCGTGTGACGGCGTCGACCAATCAGCGCGAGGCGCGACAGAGCTGAGTTACATTGTTTACCTTAAGCTAGTTATATTATTATACAAAGTGAATTACTAATTCTAATACATGAATATAAGCTTTACACTATTATTTTTCTTAATATAAAATGCTTATATCTTCTCTTATGTGTAACTTTAAACTATAATCACAACATAAACGCTTATATCCTATTTAAGTACAAACTCTAAACTACTATAATATAAAAATGTTCGTCTTATTTAGGTATAAGTCTATTTATTTTCACTTGTCCCGCACATCACTCCCGCCGTGCGACCGCGTCGCATCAGCTTCCGGTGCGGGCTCGACGTCCGTAGATAGAGGCAGGATCACCAGCTTCCTTATTGGCCGGCGTAGGACTCCTCCCTTGGTCAGCACGTCCACTGTCCGCACGATGTTGTCAGGACCCGGATATGTAGCGATGACTCTTCCTCGTATTCACACGTTGCGGGGTAGGTTCGGATCGACGATCTGTACGAGGTCGTCGACGCGTACTGCTTGGCCTCGTCCGTGGGGCTCCCGCCGGTGTTGGAGCTCAGGGAGGTACTCCTTCACCCAGCGTAGCCAGAAGATGTCGGCTAGTCTCTGCGCAGCTCGCCAACTTGACCGTAAGAGGGTGTCTCGTTCGGTGAAAGTGCCTGGCTGTGGTACTCGTCCCGGTCCTCCCAACAAGAAGTGGTTAGGAGTGAGAGCTTCAGGATCCTCTGGACTGACTGAGACGTGAGTCAGCGGGCGGCTGTTGACTGTGTATTCTACTTCTACTAGTAGTGTTGTGAGGACTTCCTCTGTCGGATGACGTTCGTGCAACGTCGCGATGAGAGCGGTCTTGACGGAGCGAACCATTCGCTCCCAGGCTCCGCCCATAAATGGAGCTCCAGGCGGGATGTAGCGCCAGGAGATAGTCCTCTTCACTGCTTCTTCTGAGGTCGCTGCGTCGACCGCCCGTCGTAGTTCCTTATCGGCTGCCTTCAGGTTGGTGCCGTTGTCTGACCATATTTCTGTCGGGCAGCCTCGCCGCGCGATCATTCGCCTTATGGCCATTACCGCGGAGTCAGCGCTGAGTGAGCCGGCGACTTCTAGATGTATGGCTCGCGTAGTGAGACATGTAAAAATGGCCACATATCTCTTTTGTTGAGTTCGTCCGACAGTCACCGAAAGGGGTCCGAAATAGTCCACCCCGGTGTAGGTGAAGGGGCGCTTGTGGTGAGCTAAGCGACATGTTGGCAGGTCTCCGGTTCTCGGATGCGGCGGTACTTGCGTCTTCATTCTGCAGAATAGGCATCTTCGTATTATTGCGCGTACGGTAGGACGCAGTCTCAGTACCCAATACTGCTGCCGGCACTCGTTGACTGTGGCCTCTACACCGGCATGATGGAGTTGCCGATGTATAGCCTGTACCCAGAGTTTGACGGTGTGATGATCACCGTCGATTATCATCGGGTTCTTGAACTTTTCTTCCATGTCGCAGACCGCTCGAATACGACTTCTAAGTCGTAGTGTGCCGTTTATGGACTCTACGCTGAGCTGGTGAAGGCGGCTCTCTTTGTTGATCGGCTTCCCGCTGTTTAGACTGTCTATTTCTTCCGTAAAGGATTCTTCTTGAGAGGATCGCATCAGGAGTTCTTCAGCTGTTTTAAGAAGCTCGGCTGAGACCATTAGTGGCTTTATGTCTTCTGGTGACCGCTTTTTTGTCGTCGTGCGCGCCTGACATTTTACAGTAGCTTTGTTCTTTTTCCAAGTGGGATCAGCCTCTTTATTCTTCTTTGTTCGTTTGTAGTTGACTCTCTGTTTGGTGTTTCTGCAGAGTTGAATGAACTGTAGAACACGTGCGGTTGAGTATCGGAGTCGGTCCCAGTTGGAGAACTTCGCTGGATCAGGTAGACCTTCTGCAAGCTTCAGTCTTCCTTTGTTGCTCACGTGATGTGTTCTTTCTTCGTCGGAAGGTTCTTCCGCTATTGCTCTTGTGGTTTCCGTCGGCCAGAAGTCTTCTGTTAGATATAAGAAGTCAGGTCCTTTGAACCATCGATGGTCTTTATTAAATGCTGCTGGCACGTCTCGTGTGGCATCGTCCGCCACGTTCAGCTTTGTTGGCACCCAGCGCCAGTCGTTAACTTTGGAACTTTCTTCTATTGCTGCTAGACGATGAGTCACGTAGGGCTTATATGAACGTGACCCTGTCCTTATCCAGGTTAGTACTGTCTTGCTGTCCGTCCAGAATACTTTGCGGTCAGGTTTCCTCTCGTGTTCTTCGACTACTGTTTCTGCGAGCCTGGTGCCCATGACTGCAGCCTGTAGTTCCAATCTTGGGATGGACGTCAATTTTAACGGTGCCACCTTTGCTTTCGCCATAATGAGGGATAGGTGGGCCTCGCCTACTGTTGTTACAGTTCTCCAAAAGAGAACCGCAGAGTAGGCTGACTCGCTGGCATCGCTGAAGACGTGAAGTTCTAGGGAGGCCGCGTCGCTGTAGTGAAGATATTGCCGCGGGATTGCTACTTCGCGGAGGCCTTTCAGATGCTCCATCCACATTTCCCACTGCTCCGCCAGGTCCTCGTCGATCTTGTCGTCCCATGCTGTTCCTCTACGCCAGACTTCCTGGAGTAGTTGTTTTGCCCTGATGGTGATAGGTGAGGCGAGCCCGAGCGGGTCGAAGAGCGACATCACTATTCTCAGTGCTTCCCTTTTCGTCGGCTGCTTCCCTTCTAGGAGTGTTGAGGATATTCTGGCTAAGTTAAGGTTGAAGGTGAGTTCGTCTGAGTTGATCTTCCAGACAACACCCAGAACTCGTTCCATTTTTTCTTCTGTTTTGTAGAGTTCCATGTCTTCTGTCTGATTGTTTTCTCCGAGTGTTTCTAGGAGTGACGCTGAGTTCGATTTCCACTGTTTCAACTCGAAGCTGGCTTTCATGTGCACGGCTCGTACACTCTTCGTGATGCGTTTGGCATCTTCGAGGGTTCTGAAGCTGTCCAGGTAGTCGTCGACGTAGTGCTTCTTTATGATGGCAGCTGCGGCTTCTGGGCGAGTTTCCCCGTGCTGTTTGGCGTTCAGGTTCTTGACGTATATTGCTGTCGAAGGCGAACTCGATGCTCCGAAGATTAACGATGTCATTCTGTATTCTTCCGGAGGTTGGTTGTCTCGTCGATCCCCACGCCACAGGTAACGCAGTGCGTCCCTGTCTTGTTCTCGCAACTTGACTTGCATGAACATCTCCTTGATGTCCGCCGTAACCGCGATCATGTGTTGTCGGAAGCGCATGACGACACCCGGTAGCGATTGTAGTAGGTCAGGCCCTTTGAGTAGCATGTCATTAAGTGCCACCCCTTTGGTCTTGGCTGCGGCATCGTGTACCACCCGCAATTTCTCCGGTTTCATTGGGTTGACTACTGCAAAGTGAGGTAGGTACCAAGTCTTGTCAGCTGTCTTCTGTTTTGGGGCAGGTTCGGCGTAGCCCTTTGCGACGAGAGCGTCCATTTGTTCCACGTATTTCTTCTTTAAAGTAGGATCACGATCTATCTTCTTCTCTATATTGAAGAGCCTCTTCAGCGAGTTTTCATAGTTGTCTGGTAACTTGACATCGTCTTTGCGCCAGAGAAGACCGGTCTGGAATCTTCCTTCTTCTATCTTTGTTGTGGTCTTTTCCAAGATACGAAGTGCTTGTTCTTCTGGATCAGTATTCGGTCTCTTGGGTTTTTATGCAGAGTGCGTCCATCTCGAAGTATCGCTTCACAAGGTCCTCTAGATTCTCGTCTGGATCCTCTGCGATGTGTGACACGAAATCGATGTTCCGTCCGAAGCTTCGTGTCTGACTTCCGTGGAGTACCCAACCTAGTGGCGTGAGAGATGCCACTGGGTGGTTCTTGTCTCCTCTTCTTACTTCTGATGTCAGCAGAAGATGCCAGTTATCTTGACCGATCACTACTCGTGGCATTGCGTTTGTATATGTGAGATGTCCTTGGATATCAGAGAGGTGTTGACACTCCTCCACTAGTTCCTGTGGGACCCGTTGAGATGAGACTTGCAGGTTCTTCACTGTGCGCGCTTGTATTTGTTCTTCATGATCGTTGAGCCCCTTTAGTTTGATGGTGACTCTTCTTGATGCTGACTCCGATACTTTCTTGTCGTTGATGGTTTCTATCTTCAGTGGGTCTATGGGGCCCGTTGCTCCGACGCTTGTTACTATGCTATCGTCGACGAGCGTGACTGTTGAGCCGTCGTCCATCAACGCGAAGGTGTTGACAGCTCCTTTTGGTCCTTTAACCTGGATCGGTAGGATTTTTAAATACGATTGCTTCTTGACGGTCCACGTTGAGTTGATGACCTCTGATTGATCTGATGCCCCTTGATTTTCTTTTGCTTCTGTGTCTACCGACTTCTTTTCGTAGTGCAGCATCTTGTGGTGGGAGTACTTGCAACTGTTGACATTACATGACTTGGGTCGGCAGTGGTGTGTCTTGTTCCTATAGCGAAGACACCTGAAGCAGAGGCGCTTGGACTTGGCCATGTCCCATCTTGCATTTGCATCTAACTTCTTGAATTGTTCACATTCTGTGGCGTTGGTGTGCCCCGTATCTTCACATACAACGCACCTTGGTATGTATGTCTTCTCAGTCACGTTGTTGATCCTTTGAGTCTTCCTTTGTGGTGCGGCTGTAGTAGGCGGTGTCATCTGTTCGGGCAGCGCGTAGGGTCCACACAATTCTGCTTCCCTTTTGAAAAACTTCTCTATCTTGATGAGACAAGGGTCTTCACGTGGCTGCATGGCTGAGAAGTCGTAGTATCTATAACGCAGAGTTGGCGTCAGTTTGTCTACTATTGTCTTCGCGAGTTCAGGATTGTACATGTAGTTAAAACAACCCAAAGTCTTCAGAGTCGCCACTACGTTGGAGACCTTGGTGGCGAATATGCATATATCTCTTGGTGACTCAGTAAGGCGCGGCAGACCTCTAAGCGTCTCCATCTCCAGCATGGCTATTGACTCTGGTCTTCCAAATCTTGACTCCAAAGTTTTCATTACTTCAGCCGGGTGTGCGTTGGTCATAAGTAGGCCTTCAACTGCTTCCTTGGCCTTCTCTTTCAAGTTTCTTCTGAGTCGATTCGTATTTTCAACTGCGCTAAATGTTGCTTCTGTCTCGTAGTAGGCGGCGCGAAAGGGTAGCCATTCCTGATGAGACCCACTGAAGAATGGTAACTCGACGAACTTAGGTTGTTGGGCGGCGTTGACAGCCCGACTGATGGCTTCAGCTAGGAGGGCTACGTCAGTTTGACCTCCCGCCGGCGACTGATGTGTTTCTTCATGCCTTTTCTGACTTGGTTCTTCTGCGCGGGCGGTTGTTGGTTCTTCTATGGCATGGTGAGGTTCGTTGGTGATTGCTAACACCGGGCGATTCACTTGATTTTCCAACCAGTCGTCCACTCTTGCATTGATTTCTGAGTAGAGGGAGGCGTCATCTTCTTCTTCTTCTTCTTCCTCCTCTTCTGAGTCTTCCTTTTCCAAGGCAGCAAGACGTGCTGCGGCTAATTCCACTTGAAGGCGTAGCAAATCTTCTTTCGCCTTTGCAAGCTTGAGCTGCTTCGTTCTACTGTGTGTAGATCCCCCCCCTCCTCCCTTCTTGCTGGGCAGGCGGGGTTCCTGTAATGCGGTTTGCTTCGATGGACCGGCGGTGCTTCTTATGGCTCGCTTCACTGTATCAGTTTCTGTTTCTCGGCGAGTTGCTCTGGTGACAGTAGCGGGCGGCTTCATCAGCTGTTTGGCCTTCGCACCCGCAGTTAGCGTCGTCGCCGCGGATGGAGTTACGGAAGGAGCGACGGTGCTGGCGGGGTGCGCGGCGGGGGTGGCGGTTGCGGCTGAGGTGGCGGCGGACGAAGTGGTTGCTGCGGTGGCGGAAGTCACGGTGGATGGATCAGTTGCCGCGGAGGTGTCTGTATACTCCGAAGTCTCCGTGGCGGTCGTCCCTGTAGCTGTCGATTCCGTACTGGCTTCCGCACTGTTGGTACCGGTCGCCGAGGTGGTAGCCTTGGACGACGGCGGCTTGCTGCCCCTTCCCTCGGAACGCGTAACGGCCATACTGTTAGCTGACTTTTTCATCGAATAACGATTTCCGAGAAGTCTTCTTAACTCGATGTAGCACTATTTGAAGTCTTCAGGTAATTATTTTCCACAATATTCGGCTGGCGAAGGACCATTAAATGTGCCCTACAAGCACATTTGTATGCTGGGTTGGTGGAGAATAAAACACTGACACTTTTTTCTTTCTTCTATATTTGATGTTTTCCTTGAGAGAGCTGGCCGCCGACTGTGTCGAACGACGAAAATCGCCCCTCTTTTATACTACCTCGGCCGGGTCGAGTAGTACGGCGTGCGTACCGTGTGACGGCGTCGACCAATCAGCGCGAGGCGCGACAGAGCTGAGTTACATTGTTTACCTTAAGCTAGTTATATTATTATACAAAGTGAATTACTAATTCTAATACATGAATATAAGCTTTACACTATTATTTTTCTTAATATAAAATGCTTATATCTTCTCTTATGTGTAACTTTAAACTATAATCACAACATAAAACGCTTATATCCTATTTTATGTGTAACTTTAAACTATAATCTTTATTAACACAATATAAACGCTTATATCCTATTTAAGTACAAACTCTAAACTACTATAATATAAAAATGTTCGTCTTATTTAGGTATAAGTCTATTTATTTTCACTTGTCCCGCACATAAATAAGTTCATTACTACCACCAAAATTATAAAAAGACTGCAGTTGCCAACTCGCGTGCCAATTGTTCGGACGAATTCCAGCCGCACAATTTCACCATCGCACATCGCGACAAAACTCTCAATACCATCAGTACCATTTGGATGACTGGCGGTCCACCGCCGTGCGATTGAAAAGAAGTTTTCTTCCTCACACAACTTCCTTGTGGAATCAACTACCACCAGAGATTTTTCCGGACCGATACGACTTAAGGACCTTCAGGAAAAGAGCCTACTCCTCTTTAAAAGGTCGGCAACGCATCTGCAATTCTCCTGGTGTTGCACTTGTTCATGAGCGGCGATAATCACTTACCATCAGGTGAGCCGCATGCTCGTTTGCATGATGCCCCTCTCCTATAAAAAGAAAAAAAACTGTAGCAACTTTATCAAATTTCCTCCTTATAAGGCAATCTACGAAGGAGGCCTATGTTCGTCATTGGACTTGTAATTAGACTGTAATTAATGTAGAAATGAATTACCAACACCAGCGCCGGCCAGGTAAACTGACGCTGGACATCCGAGCCCCCCAGCGCCCACCACCAGCACCTTCGCAGCACATAGCCTCTCCTGACCTTGAACTCCGATATCCGGCAGAAGTATTTGTCGACTGTACCTGTTGAAAGAAAATTTATCGTTGATGTGGACCTTTCACACTTGGTATGCGTTGCTTTAGCAAGCAAAACTACTTGATAAAATCAGGCGTTACTTGGCGGAAATCCATTATAATAAAGATATTAACAGTTACTTTGCAACCATCCGCCAAATTATATAAAATGATGTATCTTCCCTAGTTTGAAGAGCACCTCCCGCCCTCCCTCAATTGCGTGCACCAATCCCGTCACCACCAATCCCAGCACCACCACTCCCAACACCACTATTCTAGGAAAGACACACCATCGACGATAACATGACACGTGTTTCGCCTCTACACGAGGCATAGGGTATTTAAGGTTTGACGCAAATGAGATTGTTATACCATCACCTACAGAAAGCCTTCTGTTTGGTATATTTTACGTGGTAGGGCTACGCTGCAGCTATTATGTATGGTGAGTGGAGAGAATCGGAGACCCTTTTTACCGGAATCGAGGCATTCCATCATGGTCCTCAAAGGTGACAACGCATCTGCATTTTGATTCTTAATCAAGCTTAAATGTAGATGTCTATGGGCCACAGCATTAACTTACTATCGGGCGGACTGTGTGCTCGTTTGATACCCTTATCCTATAAAAAAATCTCATAGTTGCCATTTACTACACCTCCAGGACGAAACATGTAGTTCCACTCATGTCATGGTTTTTGGGCTTATTTTAGTAATAAATGTTTATTGAATTTTTAGATAAAACCTTGATGATCAGAGGCTAAGCGCGCGATATAAATTTTAAAGTTTGAAAACAACAAAATCCTTGCTGGAAATAGTTTGTTAATTGCAATTTAGAGTGCTGATTTTCCATGAACGAGTACGTGGAAAAGACACCTCATTCGTAAAAAAATAATAATGTACTGTAGCAGAGTGATGGACTAGTTGCTCCAGTCCTTGAGGGTTCATAGATACTGTACTTACGTGAATACATAAAACATACATATACATAAACACTCACGCCTGTCACCCAGAGGGGTAGGCAGAGACTACAGACTTCCATTTGGCACGATCCTGACACACCTCTCTCGCCTCCTTCACATCCATACACCTATGCATGCATGCTCGTCGGTTAAGGGTACTTCTAATTTGGCCCGTTTTCAATAAATCGCCAATTTGGTCGATAAATTTTCGCCTAGGGACGTCCCTTTCCGACTCTGCCATTCACTTCTGCAACATAAATTTTCTTTGTCACTCTTTCCTCATTCATTCTTTCCACATGACCAAACCACCGAAGCATTCCTTTCTTAATCCTGATCACAACATCATCTTGCAAACCACACTCTTCTCTTATCACACAATTTTTCACCCTGTCATTCAGATTCAGCCCTAACATACTCCTTAACGACCGCATTTCTACTGCATTTATTCTACTCTCGTGCTTCTTCTGCCATACCCAACTTTCACTACCATACGTTAAAGTAGGGACCAACACAGCATTGTGAATTGCCATACGTGCCTTTTTTGACACATTTTGACTCTTCACAATAGAGTGCAGGGCTCCATTTACTCTGTTTCCTGCGTTCACTCGTCGTTCTATATCCTTATCATATCTCTCATCCCTGCTAAATACGCAACCCAAATATACAAACTCATCTACTTGCTCGATCAACTCCCCCTTCTATTCTTATTTCACATATCGTTTTACTTTCATCTCTTTCAAAAACCATAATTTTTGTCTTACTTGCGTTCACTTTCATACCCCTTTCTTTTAATGATCTGTTCATTAATGTAACCATCATTTGCAACTCAGCCGCCGACGACGCAAGAATAACTTGATCATCGGCGTACAAAAGGCATTTGATGGTTAACTCACCCATTCTTAATCCGCATTCTTCAACTTTTAAATTTTGCAAACAACTGTCCATAAATAGGTTGAACAACCACGGGGAAGCCACACAGCCCTGTCTGACACCTTTATGGATGCCAAACCAGTCCGAGTAGACCCCGTTGATCCTAACACAAGCACTAGAATCCCTATAAAGAGATTCCAATGCCTGTATCAAGCCAGCGCTCAACCCAAATGAGTTCAGTGTTTGCCATAGCACATTCCTATCCACTCTGTCATAGGCCTTCTCCAAGTCCATGAACGCACAAAAAACCTTTTGGTTTTTGGCCAAAAACTTCTCCGCGATCATGCGCATGGAGAAGACTTGATCTGTACATCCCATTCCCTTTCTAAATCCCGCTTGCACATCCCAAATTTTTCCATCGGTTTCTTTCATGACCCTTTCAATTAGTACCTTGGCATACAGTTTTCCCACGATGCTAAGAAGGCTGATACCGCGGTAGTTTTTACAGTCCTGCTACGACCCTTTTCCCTTATATACTGGGACTATCACGGCTTTGCACCAGTCTCCCGGTACCCGCTTCAGTTCCCAGCATAAATTAAACAAGGTGTACAGCAGGCCTGCCACCACTTCCTCTCCAGCCCTTAGCATTTCGAGTGAAACTCTATCATATCCGACAGCCTTACCCGCTTTCATGCTTTTCATTGCTTTCATTATTTCATCTATACTTATCTCGCTACCTCCTTCCTCTTCTTTCGGAGTTCCTATTTCATTCAGTTCATACGTTGTCTCCTCACTCATAAACATGCTTTCAAAATATTCCTTCCATCTCTTTAAACTCAAAACTTCATCATTCAGAATATAGCCATTCTCATCTCTTATAGCATTCATTATAGGCTGTTTTGAACATCCCCTGGCAGTTCTTACGAGTTTCCATAACATTTTAATATTTGTTGTGATTGTTGTTTGTGTTGAGTTATCCGATATTCTTCTATCATTCTTATCCGTTCTTTCTTGCTTTTTCCTTTCAACTACTTCTTTTACTCTTTTATTTAGATGTCTAAAGACTGCCTTTTTCTTTCAAAATCATCATTCGTACCGCTAGAATTACCAGCCCTAGTTGCTAGTAAATCTAGCCATGCTCTCTTCTTTGCTTCAACTTCCGTACGTATCTCATCATCCCACCATAACGTATTATTTTTCCTTTCATTCTTTCTTTTACTAACACCACATACTTCGGTAGCTGCATCTACTAAACCTTTCTTAACATTTTGCCATACATTCTCCAAGTCTAACTCATTCATACATAATTCATCCAAACCACTTACGTTTTCTTTCAGTCTACATTTAAACTTGTTTTTCTCACCTTCATCTTGTAATTTTTCTGTTCTAATACGCTGTAACGCAGTGGTAGACACAGATGACCGATGGCGCCACCGCCTGAATAGACCATTAATTCGGCATAAAACCAAAAAATGATCCGTTCCTACGTTTGACCCCCGGTAAACCCTTGTATCCACCACTGCGCCCCTCAATCTTTCATCCACAATTATGAAATCTATCATGCTTCTATCATCACCTCTTTCCCAAGTGTACATGTGAATCCTCTTGTGGCGAAAGAAAGTGTTCGTCACAAAAAGATTCTTTTCCATACATACAGTGAGGAGGCTTTCACCATTCTCATTTATACTTTCATCACCAAACGTTCCCAATATCCTTTCATAACCAAGCCTCCTCACCCCAACTCTTCCATTAAAATCTCCTAGCATAACAACATTTTCATTTCCCTTACATTTCATTAATACCATCCTTACCATTTCCCAAAACTGCTCTCGGATATGAGTGGGCTTAGACATGTCTGGGGCGTAGACCCCTAGCACAAACAACTTCTTTAAGCCCACTTTCAATCGTATCCATAGCAGTCTTGGGCTTACACATTCATACTCTTTCACACATTGCACCATTCTTTCTGATAGGATGATACCTACTCCCTGGCATGCCCGCTCGAGCTCGTCTACACCAGACCAGTATGCGGTATACATGCCATGTGTAGTGACATCCTTCCCCTTCCGTTTCTTCTCATTTACACATAACAAATCTATTCCTCTATCATACATCACCTCGCATACTTCATCCATTTTATCATTCATTGCTCCACATACATTCAACATAGCCAGACGGGCCTCTGCAATTACGTGAATACTACAAGTTTAATGATAATAATTTTATACCAACTTAGTATTAAGTAATTTTTTTAACAAAATAAGAGCCACATATAAAATAGTATAACTGGAAATGATGCATTCCATCTCACTCCTCAGTCTAATTCTATAAAAAAAGTTTAAAAAGTCTCCGGTTCTCTACACTCACCATACGAAACACAGCAGCATTGAGCTGCTATTTTACGCTGGTATTCTGTGAAAGCGTGGTCCTTCCCCGGTCGAGCCGACCCATTTGTGCTCCAACCATAATATAGCTGCAGCAAAATTTCAAGTGGTTTACAGCACCCATGGTCACTGTGGAACTAAGGTGTTCAATAGTCAATATCATAGCTAATTCAGATTTGCCTCAGCTTTTTAATATTAATCGTTGTTCAAATCTACACAGTATTCATAACACAGCATAAGACATGCTAATCCCAATTACAAGACTGAATGTAGTAAAGTATACCTTTCAATAGCCCACTTAGGAAGATTATCACCATAAAATACTTTGGTCACATTTTTCATGTTAAGTTGTTCACATTGTGCAGTGTAACCTTGATTTAAATTATTATTTGGATGTACCTGAAAACAAAATACACTAGTTCATAATTCTACACATTATATACTAGTGAATTACTACAGTTTTCGTGTGTAGGTTCCATTAATGTAGCATTTTTCTTATTTAAAATGATCAAAGGCCAGCAATGCATCAATTTGACATGTTTTTAAGACTTCAAAAAGTGGGAGGTAATCAATTCAACTGCATTTTTTTTAAATGTTAGAACTCTTTTCGGGGTAAATCCATTTTGACGATTCTTTTTTTATTTACTAATATAATACCAGCGTAAAATAGCAGCTTAATGCTGCTGTGTTTCGTATGGTGGGTGTAGAGAACCGGAGACCCGTTTTACTGGAATTGAGGCATTCCTTCTTAGTCTTCAAGGATGACAATACATCTGTATTTTGATTCTTAATCGAGGTTAAATGTAGATATCTATGGGCCACAGCATCTACTTACCATCTGGTGGACTGTGTGCATGTTTGTCACTCTCATCCTACAAAAAAAAATGAAAACTGGTGCTTCTCGTAGCCTGATCAGTAGTTTTTGGGTTATCATCCTCCATAAAATTAATTGACTTTGACTACGTTGACGATCCGTAAGTACTTCTGGATGCGAAACCTGGGCACTCACCAAACACCACAGAAAAAAGTTGAAACGCTGTCAGAGCGCCATGGAGAGAAGTTTGACAGGAATAAGGAAACAGGACAGAGTGAGATGTAGCATAATAAGTTGAAACGCTGTCAGAGCGCCATGGAGAGAAGTTTGACAGGAATAAGGAAACAGGACAGAGTGAGATGTAGCATAATAAGTTGAAACGCTGTCAGAGCGCCATGGACAGAAGTTTGACAGGAGTAAGGAAACAGGACGGAGTGAGATGTAGCATAATAAGTTGAAAGGCTGTCAGAGCGCCATGGAGAGAAGTTTGACAGGAATAAGGAAACAGGACAGAGTGAGATGTAGCATAATAAGGCATAAAACCAAAGTTGTCGATATAATAACCCCAATAGACTAACAAAAGTGGTTATGGACTGGTCATTGGACAGGACAGAAAAATTGCCACTGACTGGTATCCCGGAGACGGCAAGACAAGTAGTGGACGCCAAGAAACAAGATGGGAAGACAACTTAAAACTCACGGCGGGACATCATTGGAGCAGGGTAGCGCGGGACAGGTCCCAGTAAAAAATGTTAGAGGAGGCCTATGCCAAGAGGCAAAATGAGCTTCAGGACATATTACAACAAACAAGAACATGTCTAGTATACATACTTAACCGAGAAGTTCAGATTAAAGAGGCTTATTATTATTATACATTGACAATGTTCTCATTTTATTTGTATTGGAGTTGATTTGTAAAAAAAAAATATTTTACCACTTTTCAAGTTTAACTCAAGTTTTTTTTTTTTGTATAAAATACAACCTAGATCACTCCTGGCATTGCTCTTTACTTGTTTGTGAAGTTTCATCACCATTGGTTTAGCGATTCCGAACAGTAGCTCATAAGGGATTTTTTTTATAGATATTCGGATCGGCCTCGAGGCCTCAATTTGCACTGATACATTCCTAAACCTGCATGGTTTTTGCGATGCATCAAATTTTGTCGTGTTTTAGTCAAATATTTGAGGATGTAAACAACTAATTATAAACTAGGTAAGTTTATATTGTTTTATCTCTAAGTATTTGTTGTGTGCCTAAATCAAATGTTTTTCATCATATTCAACTCCAAACCAAAATATAATGGACTTAGCAGGTTTACGCATTATATTATCTTATTTGGACACAGATTCAGCAGTTTATCAATTTATTGTCTTTAATAATTTATTGCTCAATTAAAGATAATTTCTTAGAAAGAGAATTTAAATAAATTATAAAACAAAGTATGCATGTACAAATAAACAGTTAAGTTAAAATCTGTTTTTTGGTCTGTATAAATGTTAAATTTCATTTTTTTGTCCTAATTTTATTATTCTTCTTCTTTAATTTTATTAAATCAAATATTTTTTTGATATTTTCAAAATATATCGGGAGAAAAAATTGTGGATTTGGTTTCCGAGGCTTGTAACTTACAGGATAGACCTGAAATGTAGCTCTGAAGTCAGATTATGAACCAAACAAAGTAATTCACATTTTAGAAAATATTCAGTTACAATATATAGGTCCATAACAGAACAAATTTTTCACCAGTGAGATCACTGAACAGTGCACATAGTGTATATCAGAACATGACCTGTTATTCAGATTAAGAATATTAAGCAGTCCGGCAAGTTTAACAAACAGATAGGTTTGTTTTACTTATTCTAAGCCAGTCCTTGACCATGCTCCCATCTGGTAGTAACTTATGATAAAGCCGTAGATGATAAAACGCACTCTTAGCATAACAAAAGCCACATGCCACAGGAGCTTGTTTTAATTGGTAATGACTGTTACTAACTTATTTAACTTAAAAGGAGAACTATATAGCAAACATGAGTAAGTGTATAACAAATAATTTTAAAATTAAAAAAAATATTTCATTGGGGTGTAGTTTTATTATAGATAAAATATAAGGTTTTATTTTAAAATAACAATTTACCGGCATCCAATTACTTTTCATTTCAAATAATTCACTTTCTTTCTCTTGTAAAGCTTTACGCAAGCTATTTATTTCTTTTTCTAGCTTTTGAATGCGATCCATCCTTGTTCATATAACACGATTATATCTTATAAAGCTATTTTATTATTTTGAAATATTTACAAAGTGTTGGATAAATAAAACAAATAAATTAAAATTGACGTGACGTCACGGACAGACGGAAACTATTTTTTTTTATTTTGACATTTATTCACGTTCAGGGTTGCCAATTGCTATTCAAATACCTAATATGTCGTAGACAGACACCTATAGACTAATGATTAGCGTGGCCTCGAATGAGAAAGGACGATAACGTAGTTTTAGGTTATACAATAATCTTTATGACTTTTAAACATATTTAGATAATTTTTTTAATTGTTCTAAGAACTGAACTGAACAAGATTCACCAATCTTAAGCTCACAAAACACTTTTTTCTCACTTAAACCAACTTGTAAACTCCTTAGATCGATAGACCTTAGATAGCAAAGTGAATGAATGAATGAATATACTTTATTGCACACCACAAACAAATTTACAAATAACATAACAGAGAGCAGATTACATGTACAATTTGGCGGCCTTATCGCTACATAGCGATCTCTTCCAGGCAACCAAAGGTGTAAAGGAATAAAACAGTGAGTACTAGGTAGGTGGTGCAATATAAATATACCTAATATAATATCAATACATGCAATAAAATAACATATAAGTAAATAACTAATACATTAAAAAAATATGATACACATATACATAGGTATATACATAAACATACACACACATATATACATATATATATACATATACATACATATACATACATATACATACATACATATACACACATACACATATATACATACATATATCCTCAAATATATACCACTAACAATAACATAAACAAATAAATACAAAACTATATAATCACATAATTTATCCTAATGATTTTCGAACGATTGAGACAAGTAATGCTCTTTAAGAAGTCGCTTAAAGACTACAATAGTCTGAGCTTCGCGTAAATACAAAGGTAGGGCATTCCAGAGCTTAATAGACTGTACAGTAAAAGATTTATTAAAGAAAGATGTATTGTGAGTTGGTACCCTTAAAATGAGTTTTCTTGAAGAGCGTAAAGGTTCCCCTGGAAGCCCAACAAAACTAAATTTCTCCTTAAGATAAGGAGGAGTAGAAGGGTGAAATAAGACACAGTACAGAATAGAAAGAATATGCATGTTTCGGCGAAATTGGATAGTTAACCACTCGAGACGTGAGCGAAATTGGGAAATGTGGTCAAATTTGCGCAATCCAAATATGAACCGAATACTAGTATTTTGAAGTCTCTCAAGCTTAGTTAGCTGGTCTTTAGTTATGTCTACATAGCTTGCGTCGGCATAGTCGAGAATCGGAAAAAGTGTAGTTTGCTAAACAAAAAAAACGGCACGGAGAAAGGGACAAACAATCACACCGCTCTGTCTCATTTCTATTCAAGACGTATGCATAAATCTATCTTTTTCGTGTGCGAATGCGAAAGAATGCGTCAATTTGTCTATAGGTTTCTCTGTCTACGTAATATATTTAATCCATAGACGTATTAAATGTTTTATATACGTCTACGATTTAATCCCGTAAGGGCTGCTGGTGCTGCCACTATAAATCTATGGAGGGTAGAGGTAAGGAGGACTATCTCTGTGTATGAAAAAGTATCCAGCCAAATGCGTTAAATTAGGGTAGCGCTACCATAGACTTAGGATAGTAATAGACTACGCTAGTACTCTTATTAGTTTGTGGTAAAAGCATTGACTTATATATTACTATAGTTCATAAAAGATAGCTTGATCTCTGCGACAGCTGTCAGTAAAAATCACGCCTATGAAGTCCTGAATTTCTTAGTAGTACAGACATACTTTATGGGTATGCACTAATTAGGACCCCCCTAGGCGACCCCCCACTAGATGGAGTGACGACCTGGTAAGATATGCAGGAAGTCGATGGATGCAGGTGGCTCATGACCGTGACCAGGGAGGCCTATGTTCAGCAGTGGACTTGTGAAGGGCTGTAATAATGATGATGATGACGCTTCAATTATAGACTGAAGTTTTATAGCCCGATTGTCACCTTTAAGTAAACAGGTGTTAAAGTCACCCATCAAAATAATATGTCTATATGTAGGGACTAGTGATTCTGTTTTCATGAAATTTCAAAATTCAATATTTCAACGCTAGTTGTTGATCAAATCACCGACCTTTTGCCCACCGCTGTGGTAAACACATCTGACTTATCACACTTCCATGGCATAAGGCTCGCTGATGAATGTTATAACAAGCCTAATAAAATTGATGTTTTGATAGGCGCATCCCTTTTCCCGCACTTACTGTGTCCAGACGTAATTTATTCGTCTAACGACTTGTCCGGGCCCTCAGCTTTGAATACGGTATGTGGTTACGTTATTATGGGCTCAGTGCCGACACTTCAGGTAAATCATTCCTTAACGTGCTGCTCAGTTCTAGAGTCTCCTACCGTTGACAAATTAGTGCAACGATTTTGGGAGCTTGAACAGCCACCCTCCGCACCGCCCATTCAGTGTCCTTCAGACATTGAATGTGAAGAGTTTTATAAGTCTACGACATCCCGCGATCCTTTTACTGGTAGATACATTGTCGGCCTGCCATTTAAAGATGACGTTTACTCTCTCGGAGATTCTTACGAGACCTCTCAACGACGATTCATGTGCTTGGAGAGGAAACTTCAAGCCTCGCCTACATTAAGGTTAACATATGATAACGTCATAAAGGAATACTTAGCTAAAAATTATATATCCCCCGCACCGCCGTATGACTCTCATGAACCCGCTCCAATATATGTCATACCGCATCATGGAATCTTACGCGAAGATAAGAAGTCAACACGTCTGCGCATCGTCCTGGATGCTAGCAGTAAGACTAGCACTGGGCGAGCATTAAATGATATTCTGCATTCAGGACCAAATTTGCAAGGCGACTTGTTCAATATAATTTTAACTTTCCGCTTACATCCAATCGCTATGACAGCCGACTGTCGCCAACAATTTCTGCAAATAGTTGTTCGCGATTCTGATCGTCGTTACCAATGCTTCCTATACCGCTTCCGTCCACAAGACCCACTTGTGTTGTACCACTTCAATCGCGTGTGCTTCGGCTTAACTTCGAGTCCATACCATGCATTGCGCACGGTAAGACAGCTCATTGATGACGACGGCGCAAAGTATCCACTTGCGAGTCGTATCGCATCTACTTCGCTATATATGGACGACATCGCGTTCTCTATGCCCAGTGAATCCGAGGCCAGTGAGACCTCTCGGCAGCTGATAGACTTATTCAAGGGTGCCCAATGGGACCTGATAAAATGGCATAGCAACCGTCGATCTGTTTTAGATGACCTCTTACTTCCCATAAAATTACAGGAGGAGTAGAGTTCGATAAATCAATGCCACATAAAATACTAGGCTTGCATTGGTCTACCGATAGTGACGCCTTTTATTTTAAGATATCTGTTCCCACTGATGTGACGTGCACTAAGCGCGCCATCTTATCTACTGTCGCCCGCCTGTGGGACATAATAGATTTCGTTGCTCCCACAGTCGCGTACGCAAAATTGTTAATAAAGCAGCTTTGGCAACTTAATTTAGATTGGGGCGAGATACCACCACCGCCAATTATTAAGATATGGAGTCAATTCTGTGCTGAATTACCAGCTCTTAATGATTTACGTATCCCGCGACATGTTGGTGTATCCAAAAACTGTACTGCGTCACTCGTGGGGTTTTCCGACGCCAGCGAGCACGCATACGGTGCCGTAGTTTACATACACGTAAAGAGCGTCAATGGTAACACCGTCCAGTTGACTTGTGCAAAGACTAAAGACGCACCGACATAACCACTATCTATTGCACGCCTTGAGCTTTGTGGAGCGGTTTTACTCTCAAAATTGCTTCGCAGAGTACTCGACAATTATTCTCTTGACCTTGCAATATCAGTCTATGCCTTTGTAGATTCAAAAGTAGCTCTGTACTGGATAAAGAGTTCGCCACACAAGTGGCAGACCTTCGTTGCAAACCGCGTTGTTCAGATTACCGATAATATTCACGCTGATAACTTTTATCATGTCGCAGGTACTGAGAATCCCGCTGACATACTTTCACGTGGCGCCAAATAAAGTTTCAAATCCCCTGTGGCTCCATGGGCCTCAGTAGACCTCATTAGATACATCTCAATGGCCTCTTCGTACTTTAGACAATGAGGTTATTGCAGACATGCCTGTGAAGAAGATTTTGTCACACGCTGTGTGCACATCCGTCTGTAATTCTGCGATTTATGAGCTCGCACTCCGCATATCTTCTTGGAGTAAACTTCTACGTATAATTGCGTACGTGTGTAAGTTTGCTAAATTATTGCCCCGCCGCAGCACTACTGTAGTGACTGCTGATGATCTCAGTTTCTCTAAGGTTATAATGCTCCGCGCCCTGCAAAAACAGCATATTGCAGTGGAATATTTAAATATTGAAGGTAACAAACCTTGCTCACCCGCTTTCAATCGTTTAAGGCCTTTTATTGAGAATGGTTTGATCCGCATTGGTGGTCGTCTTTCGAACTCCGCGTTAGATTAAGCGCAAAAACATCCAATTATACTCCCGCGCAGTGATCATGTAGTGAACATGATCATTGACTATTATCATATTAAAAATTTACACGCTGGGCCTGAATTGTTATTGTCATTGCTCCGTCAAAAATTTTGGATCCTGTCCGCACGACGCACTGTGAGAAGCAGAGTCCACAAGTGTAATATATGTTTCCGGCTTAGACCCCGTCCAACTTACCTTTTGATGGCTGATCTTCCCCATAGTCGTGTAAGACAAGCTATTAAGGCATTTACACACACGGGCTGCGATTATGCCGGTCCCATCGCATCCACTCCTGTACGTCGTCGTGGTGTACGCAGATAGAAGGCGTACTTATGCGTTTTCACATGCCTCACGACTCGAGTTGCGCATATAGAAATCGCTACAGATCATAGTAGTTCTAGTTTCCTCGCC